CAAATAAGTTTATTAAAACCCTTACGAAAAATTTATATAAATAATTTAAAACTTAATTAGCCTTAATAAATATTAAGAACTTTTTATAAATAAGGCAGCTACAAAAATTAAATAGTAAAATAATTATAAAATAAAAAATATATATTAATAATAATTAAAAATAATTAAAGGTTTTTTCCAGGTTAAAATTAAATTATTAATAATTTAAATAATAAAGGAATATTAAAATATTTTAGATTAAATTAACTTATTAATTGTATTTAAAGGGGTATATTAAATTAATTAACTATATTAAATAACTTAAAAATATTTAATCTTATATAAAATAGCGGTATAATATACGTTTTCATAATTTTACCTCAATCAATTAAATTATTAAAAATATGATAAATTAAACCTTATATAACGCTTATTTAATACGTATTAGTTATATAACACCTACCTAATTTATATTAAGATTAACTTAAACCCTTAATAATTTTAAAATATATACCGGTTACATACATTACAACATAATAATTAATTAAATAAAAATAATATTGAAGTTATTTCCATTATTAATTATTAGCTTATTTATAATTGAATTAAATACGTATTTATAAGCTTTTAAATTAATATATTTATATGATTAATTATTTGTAATACTTGGCTTATTTAACCTATTTAACTTACTTAACTTACTTAGTTTTAACAAGCCTTGTATAATTAATTAAGGTAGTAATACGGTGATTAAAGCTATTAATTTAATTGGTTATATTAATTTAACTATTAATTTAACTGCTTTATAAGTCGTTAAGATGGCATAATAAGTGTTTATTATCGTTAAATTATAAGTTGTTAAAGCTGTTGGGAAGGCTTTAAAAACCATTGTTAATAGCCTTGTAACTTGTAAAAGTTAAATATTATACCCGGCCTTATTAACGCTAGCGTTAAGGATGAAAAGATCGTATATTATTATATATATTATTGTTAAAACGGCTATATTAAAGCTGTTATAAAGGTTAATATTTACTAACTTATTATATTTAATTGATTTTGTTAATTTTAAATCAACGTGGTTAAGTTAATGATAATAGTCTTTTATTGGTTTATTTTTATTTTACGCCTTTATCGGTGTTAGGTAAGCCTTACACTCGAGGTTAAAGCCTTATCGTATAAAGATATTCAACGGTTATTATAATTAATTTACCTTAAAAATTGATTATAAAGCCTTAAGGCTATATTAAATTCGTATCTTTTAAGATTAATAAAAGTAATTTTATTTAAATTATATTACAACGCTTTAAAAGATAAGCCCTCGAAATAAACCTTTTAACGTTTACAGTTTTAAAAAGGCTTAAAATTTTAAATTTTTAAATCCTTTACCTTATTATTGTTTAAATTTAAAACGCTATCAATATAAAACCATTAATGTCTTTTAATATTAATCATTTTAAAGGTTTAAAGTTTAACCGAATTTAACCGATTTCTTTTAACACGTAACAAATAAAAAAAAACGTATTTATAAGATAAATCTTATTATTTTATAAATAAATCCTTATAAAATAATTATAAAATATTATTATTATGTTAAGTTAAATAATCTTAATACGTTAACCTATATTACCTTTACATTTTTTTAAAAATTTTAAATAATATACGATATAATATGTTATAAAATATCTTTATTTAATAATATTTAAAAAAACTTTAAAATTTAACTATTTAAAACCTTAATTTATATACAATTTTATAATTTATATAAGCATTATATATTAAAATATATAATATATTAAAGTTATAATAATAATATTTAATATAACATTTTAAATATTTATATATTACTTTAAGTTAATTAATAACAATTATACCGTAATTACATATTTGAAATATAATAAATTAATAATATTAATTATGTTAAAAGAAGTAATATTAAATTAAATAATTAATAAATGTTATATAAAAAATTAATTAATAAATAAAACTTAAAAATTATAATTATTTTAAAGAAAAAAATATAAAATTATAAAAAATATTAAAAATAAATATTTATACGCTTTACTGCCTTTTTAATAAAAAAAATAATAAGTCGGTAAAAAATTTTATTTTAATTTATAAACCTTATAATTAATTAGCCCCATTTAAAAAATTGTAATATTTTTTAATGTTAAAAGTTAAAAATGTTATAATTATATATACCTTTACTTAAAATAACTATATTATAATATTTTACTATATTTAACCTTAAAATACAATTACGATAATAAAAATAAATATTAAAAAATTGTTTTTAATTAAATTTAAGCTTTTTATTAACTTAATTTACTTTAAAAAAAAGAAATATTACTTACATATTTAACGTTAATATTGTTTTTTTAATAAAATTCACGTAACTTAAAATATCTCTTTTATATCTACGTAAACAATAACTTTTTAAACTTTTATAAAACCTTTTTAATTATTAAGTTAATCTTTAATATTAAAAGTTAATTTTAAAAACTATAAAAAGAAGGTTTTAACCTTAATATCCATAATATTTTCGTCGGCTTTAAGATTATTTTTAACCTCTTTAAGATCCTCGTTAACCTCATCAACTTCATTAATTTTATCGTTAATAAGTCTTTTATATAAAAAAGGGTTTAAGCCGGGTTAATTATCGCTTATAACAGTTTTATTATCAATAACCTATTTTTTATTAACTTTAATTAATAAATTACTTGCTATTACTATTAACTAAATCCATTTTTTAATGATATAATAAGCAATGTTTTTCATAATATATTATACACACAATTGCTATGTTAACAATGTAAAAGTTAAGCTTACAACCTTTTTAAATACCTTTAAAAAATTATTTAATATCATAGTAAGCTTTTGAATCTCGTATCATATCCAAAGCCTATTTAAGTACCTTAACTACCACGTAAAATCAACCTTAACCTCTTTAAAAGTAAAATTAAAAGCCACATGAAAATTCGTATGCAATAACATGATACCCGTAATATTTAATAATGGCATATTAAATTAATTAACCTGTATTATTATATATAAATTAGTATAAAATGTAAAACAAAATTATTAAAATAAAGCTATTAACGTTATTTTATACATATTATTAAATAATAAAATTTTAAAGTTATATTATCATATATAAATATATTATTTAAATATTTAAAATAATTAAATTACTTTATTAATAATTAAGTTTTTATTAATTTCGTAATTAATATTATAAACCTTTTTATATCGTTATAATTTTTTTATTAATAATTAAGTATTTATAATTTTTTTTTATATTTAATTATAAAACCTTTATTTAATATTTAAAATATCTTATGTTATAATTATAATATTCTTTTTATAAATCCTTATATATAATTTGTTACTATTTTAATTTAAATTAAAAAAATTATTAAAGTTAATTTTAAACTTAAATCTTATATAAGATTTTAAATTATTAAATTTAAGGTTATTTCCCGATAAATAATATATAATTTAATAATTAATTAATAATTTAGTTTTTAATAATTATAATATAATTATTTTAAAATTATAGTTATTTTATTAAAATTATTAATATTTAACGTTAATTACGTTAAAACTTATTTCGTAATTATAAAAAACTTTTTATATATTAATAAACCACGTATTTTACTTCTTTAAATAAAATATTATAACTTTATACTTACATTTACACTTTTGGAAACTTCGTTGCTTTTTACCACCTTTTTATGTAATATACCTTTTTCCACGATTATATATAAATTAATAATAAATAAATTTATTATTTCGATTAAATATACCATTAAAACCTTTAACCTATACACTTTTCTTAATATATACGTTAAAACCTTAATCTTAAATAAATTAACAATAAACCTTTTTAATTTAATTATAAAAATTAAAACACCTTTTTAAATTATATTAACGTAATAAAAACTTTTTATAAATAACCCGAATAACTTTTTAATTATTTATTAAAGATTTAATTAAGGAATTTATACGATTTAAAGTTAAAGAAATAATATCGTTAAAATTAATAATAAATTATATACGTTAAAATGGAATTTAAAATAATAAAGTAATTATATTAAACCTTAAAAAAATTATAAGCTTAAATTTAATAAATAACATTATATTAAATTATTTATTAATAAATTTAATAATAAAAATAATTTTAATATTATTTTTATTTAATTAATTATTATGTTATAATATATACAACCGGTATATATTTTAAAATTATTAAAGATTTAAACTAATTTTAATACAAATTAAATGGGTTATAGGTTTTAACTCTTATCTCACGTGAAAAATGAATGGGTTGGCCTTTTATTAAAATTTACCTGGCTTTTTAACGTTACTGATATTTTAAAGTAAAGGTTATAAGGTTTAAAAACAATTTAATTTTCGAAATAATTTGATGAGATTAACCACCTTGTCCCATTAGCTTAACCGTTAAAACTTTAAACCCTACTGTGGGGTTTATGCGGGAGCTTTAGGTTTAAGGACTAGTCTTTTTAAGTTTTTTTAATTTTTTAATTTTTGGTCCTATTTTTCACGTGAAAGTCACGTGAATCTTCCCAATCGTTCCAATTTTTAAGACTATTTTATAATTTAGAATCATTCCACATATTAAATGATTAGGTTTGATTCTAATGATTATTATATATGGTATAATTATAAGTAGGTTGAAATCATTTTACGAACCCATAGAGCCCTGCTATGGTACCTATGTATCTACTTCTTAGCTGCATACCCGTCGATCGGTTAATAAAACGATAAGAATTAGTGAAGCCCATGTTGTTAAACTATTGCTTAAGCACTTAATTAATGAAACAATTACTTCATATTACGCAACAAAAGAGTAGTATTTTTAGGACTAAAGGACAATTCCCTTTTACCATAAATAACACAACCTCAGAAACAGGTACTTTACTCAGGGATTAAATTAGGTGACTATCTAACCTAGCATTCTTCCCCCTTAATTGGTCTATCTTGCAAAACTACTAGTATTTAAACTAAAGCTCGCGAACGAACTGAACGCCTCTTAGTATATGCGGTGAAGCTCCGTAGGGAACAAGAAGCTCATTTGGAAACGTTGCGACCGGGTTCGGATCCAACCTACCTGTCGCCGGGTCTCTCCTAAATGCGACAAGACCCGATTCGCCAGCCTCGTTAGCCACGAATACAAACTCCTGGCTGTCATCTCCGCTTAGACTGGCCATGCGCGGCTGTATGTTGCGGGTTGGCATGCTGTGGACATAAATAAGTCCTACGCCTCCCTCGTCGGTGAGTCTAAAATGTGCGATGTGGCCTGAGGTCTCGCCTGGGAATCGATTCCAAAGGTAAACATCACGCTGGTTTCTGGCGACTTCGAGTCCTGTGAACGCCGACATGATTAACTCGCCTGGGTCCCATCTCCTACCGGCGTGTCCCCAGTGGACCGTGGTGAACCGGATTATCGCATCGGTGTAGTCCATTCGCATTAAGGCGATTGCAGTAGAGAGGCCCCCTACCACCACCAAGTAGTGCGTTCCTTGATGTGTTATACAAGCGATGCTCTCCGGCGAGATTGTGTTGGGCACAGCGGTAATGCCCGTGATCTCGTACCTGTCATCCAGGGTGTCCATGACGTGTAACGAATCAGTACCTGGATTTGGTATAATAAAAAAGCGTCCAGTCGGATCGAGGATGGCTTGACGTGGCCCTGGTTCACGCTGATGCGGCCACTGGTGCCCATTTTCAGTTCTAGTCCGGATACTCTTTTTTAAAACAGGGAGGTTTCCATTCCCTGAGATGTCCCAGACATCGATTCTGCCTCTTATGTAGCAAGTCTCGACAATGCGAGTCTTGTCGGCGTTGAACGCGAGGTGGTTGCCCCCATATGATCCCTGGGCATTGTTGACGAACGAAAATTTGTCGAAGCCTATAGCGTCAGGTGCAACCGGAGGACCGTTGGCCGGAGCGTCAGGTACCATCCTTAACATGTTAGTTTCCGTGCCTATCTCGTTTACAGCGTAAAGCAAGTTAGGCTCTTTGAATAATATTGAGCTGGGCAACCATTTCGGGATTGTAAATCTGGAAGCTATAGAAAGCTCGGCGCCGTCAAAATTAACAAGTATAATCTGGTTTTGATTGCCAACAACTAGCTTTCCCAACGGGGGGACCAAAGAACCTTGGTCAGCCATGATGCTCGGTTTGGAATTTGTGTCTGTTTTACAAATAAACAGGTAGATATTGCAAAAATAAAAATCAGGATAGGTAATAGGTATATGGTTATTTGATGTCTACTAATCGATGAGAAGATTGGTGATGGAGGTGAATATATAGGCGTCCAACTCAAATAGATACAGCCGAACTGTTAATTAACAGCAGGTGGATAATTGTTGTTATGAAACAATATTACTTGGAATCAAGCCAATTTATCAATAAATCCATGATATCACACGATATGCAATGTTCGAAAAGTAGTTGATTGTTCCTCAACAATATAGTTTGTTCGTAAACAGTATTTCCACACTGGGTAGGTCTTTAGCCATGTATGAAAATTTTGGCACTTTGTTTATCTAGAGTTCTTATTATACATCAGCTCTCTTATACCTACTAGGAGAAGTTAGGCCCCAACTTCTCCCAGTAGGTATCTGGTTATCAATTCATCTTTGCTTAACAATGTTAGGCGTCAGATTATGGTAGCTCGAGGATGCTTGAACTATGCCCCTTATATTCTGTCTGGAAACAAAGATTAGAGTTTCATGGAGATGGCTATGGAGAATTGCTTAGCAGGTATCGAGTAACTAGAAAACAAGTCTAAGAATAGATAAAGGGGTTTGGACTTAAGATATAATATTACCCTTTCTACGTTATAGTATACTAGGTGAATCTATAGCTTTGGCTCTACATGATCAAAAAAAGACATTTTCATTCTTCCTCATCTCAGAAGAACGGTTTCCAATACAACAGTAAATACGAAAAATGTATAGGAAGGTAATAATTACATGCCCGGGTATATAGCTTAGGCATTATAAATAACATGAAACAGGACCCTAAAATTATTCTTAGACGCCCTGAGTACGAAACTATGAACTTGTCATTGCCGAAATGTCACCACTCCATAGTCTATAGACAAAGGAGTAAAAGGAGAGTTTGTAACTTTCATTAGGTATAAAGCGTATGTTGGCAGATGAACACAAAGGATTATATGGGTTTATATTGAGGATACCCAACTTTCTCTATGCTAGAATGGCTTATAGGTAAACCCGGTTGACTAGGTATCTTATAAGCAAAAGCCTAAAGTGCATAATATGCACCTGAGAGGATGACATGCGCCTAGTGTTGCTTATTCATGTCGTTCAATTCTATTCCTAGTTGACTCTTTAAACAATACACATTGTCATTGAGCCGCCGCTGCAAGCATACAATAACACTGTCGTCAGCTCGAAAGAAATATAATTGAACTAAGAGCCTACCAATTGGTTTTAAATATAAGGTAACCTTCCATAACTCAAATTCGGCAATTCCAAGGACAAAAGAAAAAAGACAATCGCCATGTCGGCAAGCAGGGAGTGGCCTGGTGCCCGAGCTCGCACTTTCGGTGTCGAGTTGGAGTTTATAATTGTATGGATATGGGACGATGAGCCGGACCCTCATCAAGACATAGCAAGCGATTTGCCTCCTATTCTCAAGCTCCCAAAACATCTTCGTGAGTCTGGTGTTTCTAAATTATCAATAGATAACGCGGTTTATGGTCGGATTTACGATGTTCTAATTGATCATGGCCTACCGGTTCAGCGATCACCAACCTACAATTCCGAACACGCATTTCGCGGTTGGAGGGTTAAGCTAGATACAAGCATTCATCTTGAGGGGTATATTAAATGGACTGGTATCGAAATGACATCTCCCGCAGAGGCTGCTTTACCTGTGGCATTCAGTGCAATCCGGTATGCCGTAGATCTAATTAGGTCCACGTATCGAACAATTGTTAATCGTACCTGCGGGTTTCATGTCCACGTCGGTGATGGGAAGGAACATATGCCTTTAGAGCACGTAAAGCGAGTTGCTTCGCTATTCTGGGCTGCTGACCCCATTATTGCTCTGCTGCATCCACCGCAAAGGAGGGTAAACTTCTACTCACAAAGCATTCGCGATCGAAGTCCTCTTGCTCGTGGAAAGAAGATAGCGGACGTACTGGACGAGTTTGTCCACCAGGAAGAAAATAATTGTGAGCTATATATCGGACGCGGTATGAGGCACGGGGAGCACCCTATATCCTGGAGAATAAAATATCAGCTTAAGGACCACGTGGAGGCCTTTGAAGAAACTCGGAAGCCGGATTGCTTCCAGCCATTTTTCTGTAAGGATACTAGGGGCCTCCCGGTAGGTATACTAACATCTATCGAGACGGAGCCAGCCCCAAGACTTCGCAGATCAGAAACTCAGACTCGTATTGAGAAGGTAATTAAAACAACCGATGATCCCAAAGTTAAACACCTCAATATCCCGTATTCGCCAATACACAAGCGTGTCACTCCGCGATTTTTAAGCGGTAAACCCCTACCTGATGTTAAACACAAGCTCATAGATCTCGATGAAAAGGCTAAAACTGATATTGGCGTCTTTGCTGGTGTCAATGAAATATTTGCCTGCAACAGCTCATGCGTAATATTGTTGCTGCTGGAAACTGAGGAAAGATCCAATTATAACCTTTTCAGGTATAAATGCTACAACCTCATAGGTCCTAAAAAGACCGCGCCAACGATCGAGTTTCGAGAAGCTACGGGTACTATGTCCGGTGAATGGGCGGAAATATGGGCTAGAATCTGCGTAGGTCTCACGAACTTTGCCATTCACGCACCGGTAGAGGATTACATTTCCGTGCTCACTAACCTAGAACGCGCCGCGTCTGGTGAAGCTCCGTATGACGTGATCGACCTATTGAACGAAGTTGGATTGTTTGCAGAAGCTGTATTTGCGGAGAAGAGGTTAATGAAATACAAGGATGAATGGGATTTACAATACGCTCCTGATTGGGGGAAATAGGCCATCTTAAGGCTTTTAAACAAGCACTGGATTGTACATATCACCGGCAAGTTTTGATTTTTAGTTACCTAGTATATAACTGTTTAGCTATGCTTTTTTAAATATCAACGTTAAGTTTAAAGCAATGAGATGAGTCTTTCAAAATATCCTTAGTTAGGTACATAGTAAAGCGTTAACTATTATCTTACGGTACCTCTAGTTATTAGCTTATAAGTTATAGTATAGTCAAAGACGATTAGTTTAGTCGATTGCTATTCTGAATTATATTGTTGCTTGGATGTCTATGTACCTTGGGTACCTGTCATTCTTGAAAGGCAATTCAAATCCAGATATACCCCTTTTCATTGTAACTTATTTACGCCGGCCATGCGAATAAGCGGGTAAAGCCGGCGAACATAAACGCATCAAAGCTTAGGTAGTAACAATTACGCGTATCTCATGTCTATGTTGCATTGGCGACCCATGTTTTATTTAAACATCCAGCCCTAATAGCCTTGCTAGTTTCTTATTAGTCGCATGTGCGGCCGGAGGTATGTCTTTCTATTCAATATGCCGACTATCTCTATCCGCCGGCTTCTATCGGGATTTTCGGTATTGTGATACCCACTCAAGTATGCGTGTAAACGACTCCGAAGAAGCATCGTAATGCTAACAATAACAAGTTAATGCACACGACTTTCCATCTTTGATACAATTCATATACTAATTACTTTTTTTACTACCATTTGAAGTGTAAGGCTAGGAGATCAGAAACACATCATGGCATCAACATGGGTTCCGGGCGTATCTCCCGACAGTCCATTCTCGCTAGCTAATATCCCCTTCGGCATCATCAGCTCGCCGGCTAACCCCGCGCCGCATGTCGCTATCGCCATCGGATCTCATGTACTTGATCTAAAGGTCTTATCTTCGTACCCGGATTTTGACGATCTCTTCCCTACATTGAAGAATTACCCCGGCATCTTCTCGAACTCCACGCTAAATGAGTTCGCAGCACTGGGCCGACCGGTCCATCGAGATGTCCGCAGAACTATTCAGGACCTCTTATCAGCTGAGACATCAAGGCCGGAAATCTTAAAAGATAACTTGGGACTTCGACAAGATGCGGTACTTCCTCAGCATAAAGTCAAGATGCATCTGCCTATGAGCATTGGCGATTACACAGATTTCTATGCCGGATTCCACCACGCATATTATGTCGGTGCCCTGTTCCGAGGGCCTCAGGCTGCTCTACAGCCGAATTACACCCACCTCCCCGTCGGCTACCACGGGCGAGCTTCCAGCATTGTCGTTTCAGGCACGCCGATTAAGCGACCCTTCGGCCAGATTATTACTGATCCAACGGCAGAACCAAAGCATCCTACCACGGCTCCCTCACGGCGTCTGGATATTGAGTTGGAACTAGGATGTTTTATATCAATTCCGAATGAGATGGGCTCTCCGATCAAAGTCACCAACGCTGAAGATCACATTTTCGGATACGTATTGTTAAATGACTGGAGCGCGCGCGACATCCAGACGTGGGAATATGTTCCGTTAGGGCCCTTTAACGGGAAGAATTTCGCCACAACTATCAGCCCTTGGGTTGTCCTTGCAGATGCTCTTGAGCCATTCCGAACCAATCCGATTGACAACTGGACACCGTTGCAGGGGTACTTGAACGAAGGCAAAGAGAAGAATATCTTTGGAATCGAGCTACAAGTTGATTTAGAGAGTATGTATTCTTTACCAGAGTGATGCCCGAGAATTGAATCTAACACAGCGCAGCACCACAGGGCGACTCGACGAGGATATGCACAACAAGCTCGAAATACCTCATGTGGTCGTTTCCGCAGATGATCGCGCATCACACTCTAGGTGGCTGCCCGCTAAGAACGGGAGATCTTCTCGGTTCTGGGACGATAAGCGGGCCTTCGCTAGGCGAAAGGGGAAGCTTTTTAGAGCTAAGCGAGGGAGGAAGGAAAGATATCATGCTTCAGGGGATGGATGTCCGTCGATTCTTGAAGGATGGTGACATAATTACAATTCAGGGAGTCTGTGGAGAGCAAGGCCGAAAAGTCGGCTTTGGTGAGTGTACCGGTCAAATAATAGGAGCGACACCACAATTATAGTCCCTGATATCTGGGATGAGGGTTTACCAAGGAACTAGACAGCCTATCTTTGCAGCTGACTAGAACTCTAATTCTCATCCACAGAGTACTTGGGATTGGAAAATAGATCAAAAATATTGCGCCAAAAGGTATGCCTCACGGCAGTATCGTATACCGGCTTTAGTGTAGCATAAGCTGCTCTGAGCCCCCTAAATTGTGTCACCGTACGATTTTGAATCGAGCACATACCCAATGATGTAAACAAGAACGTTGTTTTCACTTGTAAACTCACATGTGTTTAGGACTTGCCCTCTTTAGTTCAGCAATGCCCATTGAACTTATTAAGTAGTACTATTGTTAATAAACAAGGCCTCAAATGGCCCTTCCATAGGTAGGTATATAAATATGCTTACCTACATATCTTAAATGTTTTTCACATATCTGTTTTTCTCATAGCATCACTTTACTCTCTCAAAGTGCAGGCAATAACAAACCAATACTGAATTATCTTCATCTGTTACGCAACGTCCTTGAAATATCACTACAATGGTTAGCAGCCAATATCTTCTATTCAGAGAAGCAGGCCAAGAGTATGGTCTGGTCCGCAGTTATATAGGGCACGGCAGCTTCAATGTCCAGGTTCTGGGCGCAGAGGACGATAGTAGTCCGTGCATCATTACCGCAGTGGTTAGAAAACATGTTTCCGTAGCGGCAGGCGACATTGTGCTTTTGTCTCTAGATGAATCTACGTCGGAGGATGCTGAGATCATCAAAGTCTACGAGGAACGCGAGATCGAAGAGCTAATTGTTCGTGGTGAGATATCTAGCCGTTTTGAGATTATTCCCGAAGATTAAGTAGTCTACTGATGTGAGGCTAGACGAATGAGATTTGTTACGGCAGAAGATGAAGCAGTTAGCTTAGTCTCTGTTATTTGCAGAAAACAACAAAAAAAAAAAAGGTAAAAAGTAGAAAAATAAATAATAAAAAAGGTAAACCTCCCAAAAAGGGGGCATTGCTAGATTTAAATTTCAATGTAACCCTGAGTTATCTTAACGGATAATTTTAATAAATAGATTTCTTATTTCGATTCCCCTAAAATATTGGGTTTAAAAAAGCGCTGTATTGTTAACCCTGAGTTAACCTATCACAACATAGGCGCTCACAATGGTCTAACAATCTGTCCCGTAGCCAATAGGCCTATTGCATAGCACATATTATGTCTGCAGTCACTACAATGCATTCACATAACTAATAAGAGCAGCGAGAAGCCATGAGATTTCCAAGTCGTGATATTATTATCAACTTCGCCATGCGGCGGCCAGCCAGCCCGCACAGCCTCGTGTAAAAGGCATCAGTGTTAGGACGACTTGATTCGGCATGCCTTGCGCAATCCGTGCAAAATGGGGTATCTTGTGTGCTCCAGCTTCAGCTTCGCTTCCCACAATACTGTCTCACCGCTATGCTTCCCCTCCGTAACCAGAACAATAATCCGCGCTCTTGTTATTACACGTATGCATCACTCTTAGTAAAGACCGACGCAGATGTCACCGCGGACTCGGGCTGTCAGGTGGACTTCCGCTTCCAGGTCGAGCTTGATACCGACTAGGAGAGCAGCGGACTTCTGGTTGCCGTGCTCGTCGGTCGCACCCCTTAGAAGTTGGCCTGGTGGGCATGGGTTAGTGACGTTCGTTGCCTTTGTACAATACAGGCTTAATCTTACCTGCTGGCTGGGCTAATCCCGCCGAGGTGGGTAGCTTAGGTAGACCTTGGGCAGCTTGGGCAAGCTGGTTCTGGGGACGACGACCGCCACGAGCCTGGCCGTCTGATTCCGAGTCGCTGTTGTAAGCAACGTTGTTCTTCATGGGGATAGCGGAGGTACTGGGAAACACATGTTAGACCTGGTACACTATTCTAAGAATAGGTAGGTAGCTATGGGGATACTTACGTGCTAGTAGTGGCCATTTTGAATTAGTTGATAGGATTGATCAAGGGAGATCTCAAAAAATATGAATGTTGAATTAGCGGCGAGGTGTTAATCACGTTGCTAGGTCAGACCTGCTGAAGAATTGAAGAAGGAAGCTGATGATGATAATGATGATGTTGATGCTGGATGATGAGGACTAATTCTTCACTGTCGAGCTGAGCACTAAGTGTTCTTATATATTCAAACCTCGACATAGGCACCTCGTTTCTCCAGATTCTCTTGTGCCTCGGAGCGGTCGAAACACAAATTAGTGTTGGGCTGGCCGCGACGCAGATCCCATTGGTAATCACGAGGATGTAACGCACTCGTCCGATATGGTACGATGGAAGTCGTCCAATTGTCCCTTGACAGAGTTACAGCGCAGACTTGGTTGCGCTTCTCATTGCTTCCTTAGCGCCGGGGATGTGGTGGACCCAGATCAAAGCGTTGAGCCTCAGACATCAAGGGTCTCGCTTTACCCCTGTCTCGCATAACAACGTTCAGATCTGATCTGAGAATGGCATGACAAGTTAGAGAATAGAGGCTAGTAAATGGAATGGGATTTCTCTCTTACTAGGACACTGAAATCGATGAAGTTCTGGATTTTTATCCCTATGGTGCATGGCATATGGCTTGCCGCCTTACTGCAGCACGGTAGATCTCTTACTCTTTTTTGAGACATGACAAGCTCGTACTTCTTTCAGACATGTAGCATACAGACTGAGCTTCAATGCGTCAAATGCCATTATTGAACATTCCCTTATGGATTGTACGATAATGGTATACTTAAGGACAACATACCTATATTATGAGAAGTCGGACATATCCATGGTTGAAAGGCTTCTGGTATCAAATTACGTGTATTCCTCATTTCAGGATAGCCACTATTAGTATACAAGGCCGTTGTGGGCTGAGGTTAATAAACCCTGTCGAATACCCCTGAACGTCAACTCCACCGTAGCCAACGACGTGGACACATCTTATGCTTCAATTTATCTCCACAGCTGTCAAGCTTTGACTCTTGAATCTATCTGCTTGGCTATTTACTTCGCGATTAGGTGGAGGCTCGCCCTAAAAATAAAAAAATAAAGAAATAAAAAAGCGGAATGGGTTGTGAACGTCTAATTATTTCTGAATAGGGGTATCTTTAATGATTCGCCCGCGAATTATATGGCGACTCTATATACTCTATGCACCGTTGACATGTTCTTCCCAGACAGCTTCGTCTTCAACATAAGGCTTTTTATATCCATGTTCCCTTGACTCATTTGCTTGCTCTTCGAGAGTATCTAGTCTGTCAGCGATAGAGCTAGCTACTGTGACGGACGCGGTGTCGCTAAGGTCATCAGCTTTCCTCGGCGCGGACCAGAACGAGACGTTGTCGGTTGCTACACTGGGCGAGTGAGGGGCAGTACCAGGTAGATGTTCGGTGTGGGAACCAGGGTCAAGGTGCAGATTGCCTAGATTAAGCTGTGCACCGCCTGTAGTGCCTCTGTCCTGTTGCGACGGCCCTTCATCTCTTTGCTCATTCGCATCAGTTTGTTGCTGTGTACGAAGCATTTCTTGCTTCTCCTCTTCCTCTCTTTGTGTTTGCTCCTTATGTTGTTTCATCTTCTCATCTAGAGTCTGCGCCTGGTTCGGGTCTGGCTCAGGCTTGCGCTCTTTCTTCTCTCGCCGGGTCAGTTCTACTTCGAGCACTCTGGTTCCCATTGGGACCTTAGTAGTCAAGCCGTCGTCGTCACGGTCGAAATATAGAGCCCACACTCCCGGGAACTCCTCAACTGCAGCAAAACCTTCCCAGCCTTCTAGAGTCATGCGCCGGTCCTGCCGGGTACAATCGAACGGACCTGTTATATGGTCTTGCGCATCGGCGCGGACACCATACTTCACTTCGTATGTGTTCTTGTCGACATATATCCAGTTCAGCATCGGTGGGTCATCGCTTATAGTGCTAACAATACCCTCGTATGTTTTGTCAGGGTATGGTAAATAATATCCTGCAAATGGATGTCCGTGACTTGTGGTATTCACCGCATTATCTTCCGCAGATAGGTCCCCAGTGGTGATATAGAGCTATGGTATTCTGCGTTAGTAATACTTCGCGGTGTTTACATTATCATGGGATGCTTTACCTTGTTATCCTTTAGAACGACTAGCTTGCCATTTATATCTCGACTGCGGATCGACTGCTTCACGCAAGAAACGACAAGATTGCAGCGACGGGCTCTGTGCTCTTCGCGTTTATTCTTGGACTGACTTTGTCGGATTGCCTCTTGTGTTCCTAGCAGAGCAGGGGCAATTGTGAGCGCCAGTATCATAGGTATAGCCATGGCGAGTTCTTCGAGAGCTTCTTGAAGGGTCTTCCCTTGAAATGTAAAAGTCTGTGAGGTATGAATATTTGACGACATCAGTTTTCGTATTCAAGTAAGAGGTTCTACTGCTGTATAGAGGGATGTAGGAACCAAGAATGGGCAAAAGTTATGACTGGTGAAGCTCACAACAACAGGCTCAAGGTAAGCAAAAAAGGGTTGTTTCTTACAATATTCAGCAATTTCTTGTCAAATACGATAAAGGCCCTAGAATCGAGATGGGGCATGTTCATGGATCCCCTGTCGTTGTTTCAGATGCGACTCTGTCTGCAGACTGGGCCCATATCATATGTTTTCCAGGACCATGGTGTCTCAGCCCTTGCCCGCGTATCTAAAATCATGCGTTTACTTTTTCCCTAGCCTCACCTTCAACAATTGTTGTGTTGATCATGAATTAGCTGCTGGCAGCTCGCCGTGAGTTCCAAGATCTGAAATTGTAATAACTAATGTATACTGTGCTGTGATCTTCGTGCTTCAGTATACTAACTTCTAAATACGGCTGGCACGATTTGAATAGGTGTGATTGGGATGTCATGTAATAGCATTCAACGCTGTCGAAGAAATCATAATGATCGCGGATCTTCTGCAATCCCTAGCCACCAATACCGACGACTCGGAGGGCGTAGCCCAGCTCGTCGTGACGGCACTTGGATCCGGTGGACAGCACTACATCTGCTGGAAGACTCATTCGGGTGAATACAGGCAGCGTACGTTCCTAAACTTCCTAAACGTTAATCACCTAACCTAGTGTTATCCATTTTCTCACTTTCCTTGCAATATAGGATCTCATGGCCTCCCAAGGCGCTTAGAGGATTGGTTGTTCCCAGTCGATGGTAGCACGCGAGACTTTGAGACTTTACAAGTGATACTCTCAGGGGAGGACACGTTCTGGGCGTCAGATAGGGATGGCGAAGTTCGGAGCGAACCTGCGGGTCCCCAGCAACAGAAGCTCCGACGAGCTCTGACGTTCAATGGCGGAAGCCCTACTTCGGGGACCAAGAGGCGGATGAGCAGAGCCAGAGAACTATTAGGAAATGATACGGAACGGCCACGATCGAGCACGTTACCGTCTATGTCACTGACAGTCGATCATCTACCCGGGCCTCACCTAAAACCAGAGCCAGCAGCCCATAGCCGGTCATCGTCTGCGGACAAGCTACGCCGGGTATCCCTCGTGCCACTTGCTGTCCATCGACGGGAACGGTCATGGGTTACGCGCCCACGCAGTTTAGTATACGGCGGTGAAGATTTAGGTGTGCTCAAAGAGCAGCCGAGTCCGCAAGGCGCTAATGCCCCGCCGACGCCAGTGAAACCTGCAGCTTCGACAGACACCAAGGCTCCGGGTAGCCATTGCACCTGCGGTTATCATTATAGAGGCACTGCGAGTGTATCAACCACGGACGTCAAACCCAAGACGAGCTATGCGGATGCCAGCGTCCAGACAGATCCTATACCCGACCCCGAAGTAGACGAATTCAGGACAAATCGGCGAAGAAATTCCAACCATCACCGTCGACGAGAATCATCCTACTCTGACGCAAGCACAACCGACTCGTTTAACTCGTCGTATCCTAGCAGCAAGCGTTCGAGCATCGAAACCGTTACGACACAACCCGACCTCGGAGACTACCATCTAGATTCCAGAGGAAAATATAACGGAAGAGAATGGCAACAGCCCCAACAGCACTGGGAGCAGCTGTCGAATCCCGTGGCAATGGGTCGGATGCAGGCTTATTTCCGCTCCTCAACATACATACTCGGGGCTGCTCTTCAGCCTCAGGGGTTGGCATAGGGTATATTTGACTTCGTACTTGCAACGCATTATTCAACCTAGAACATGGAGAAACAGTTCTACAAAAACACAATGGCTACGATAGAGTGGAAATTGTATATATAAAATATCACCTACGGAAGCGGGCGCTTCTTTTATTACTGTATATCTTTAATTGTTGGCTGTTTTGGGCCTATTCATATGTACAAAGATAGATAAAAAATCTGGCAACTACCTAGCTATGAATTACATTTTATTCGTTGAATCTTTTCGCTCTTGAAGTTTATAGGTGTCGATTATACTTGGCTTCAGCTTACCGTTTTGCATTGGAGAGCTATGAAGTGGTAAGCAATAAAAAATCATACCGTCAACAGGGGTAATTTTCTATGTGTATTTCAGTGCCTACACGGGACTATAACTAATATTAGTCTACTTTTCCTTTCGCTCCTTTTAATTGCCCTGCTAGTTTCGCAACAGCTGCGATAATCTTGTTCTTTAAACCGCCGGCATTGGCCTCAGCGCCCTCATCAGCTCCAACAAATCGTCGAATTAATATATTGTATAAACCACCGAACGCAAGGGCGATAACCGTGCTTGTAAATATGATGACATTATACGGCATACTGAAGTCTGGCGTTGGCAAGCTGAGGAGAAGGGACGTAGTCCGCAGGTTTGATGTCTTCTGTCGCGCCAATGGGGCGTCTGGGGATGTAGAAGGCAAAATGGTTATGATAGCCGCCGCAACATCGAAGCCGCGGTTGGCGTCTGGTGGATATTCCGTGTACCGTAAGATGGATTTTTCAAAATCGTACGTAAGAAAAACTGTGCTAGCAGGTGGAATGCGCATCCGAAGTTCGAGCTGCGTTCCTCGGACACGGTCCAGAGCCGGCCGGTAATAAATCTCCTCAATGATGTCACTCTTGGACCCCGGTACTCCATTAATATGAGTTGCAAGTGTATGAAGGTAGATTTTCATAAACCAAGGTAAACTTTCCATATAAAAGAATTCAACCTCTGTATCCGGGCTTGGATTGGTGAGGATGGTCCTTACTCCGCCGCGCTCGTATCCGTGGCCTGTAAAGCTACGCTCCGCATATAGAAGCGGAGTTTCGGGCTCGACAATCTCGTCGGCGTCCGTTTTGGGATGATCGCCTTCTCGTGACATATGGGGGAGGATCATCGAGAAGTCAGATTCCAGTGGAACTTGGTAGCATCGTGAAAGCCGGTTTGGATTTTTGATCTCGCTCGCGCCAGCAGTTGTGTAGATATCCCTACTATGAGGAACTTGGATGCAGACAGGAGGAACCTCTGGGTCAGTCAATGGGCAAGCCCCCTTAATTGTCTTGCCAAAGATTTGGTCGAGCGCCCATTCTTGGCCCTCTGCATAGTCGGTAGGGAAACATGTATCTCCAGAATTATACGGTTTTGACGAGTTACATTTCAGCTCATGGCCTGGCAGGGGTCGCGGTATAGGGTTATCTGCGTCGTGTTAGAGCTAAGGTGGTAAATGGGACAGAAGGTCGTATCCTTACCCCTAGGTCGTTTAGACCTTTCGATATCCAAGACCATATCGATTGTTTGCTCAATCTGCAGCACACATTCTTGACCGTCTGGACACAGAGGTCGAATATCGATCGCCATGCTCTGCCAGGATGCGTCAAAGAGTTTGTGCCCATCGAGTAGACTCGATATTCCGGCTTTTCCCTTACATGGCAGCAGCTTCAAAAACGGCGTTAAGTTCTCCGTACAAACCACTTCCCTCGGCAGCACACCATGTAGCAATTGCATGTTAGCCAGGGTGGTGTTTGAGTGGTCTCCTTCGGGTTGGAAGGACATGACTGGGCGAGTCGTTCTAGTCTCATCGATGAAGTTCAGCGAAGCGCAGAAGAGGCCGGATAGTGCGTTTGTTAGACTCAACCACTTGTGACTGGCCCTGTCAGTAAGTAGAGTCAGCATATAAAATCAATAGCTAGATCTGTTCTTTATAGCATACTCTTCATCAGTGTCCGCTTCAAGCCAGGCCCACAGCTCGACGCCTGTTCCACCCTCTTTAGTGCCCTCCCACGGCCTCGCTCCCCAGCTCTCGGCATCCCATCTTCCTAAGCTAAACCTCAGATGCAGCTCTCTTGTTCCAACATGTTGTAATATTTGACCTAGCGATCGAGGAAAGTACTGAAAATTGCGCGCTTCGAATTGCGACAAAGTGGTGTTGGATCTGAAGTTGAAACTGGCGAGAACGGTGGATTGAGGCAGCGGTTTAAGAATTAACTGTTCGTAATAATCGGAAGCAAGAGCAACAGTCCAAAACAGAATCGAAAAGGGTATCAAGTAAGAAAAGAAATGACGCATCGTGGCCGTCGATAGTCCATGAGGACGACCGATTTTCTTTTTATGGTTGGTGGTTGTAGATGGTAGCTTTTGCAGGTGATACGTCGATTATTGGATACAAGATTACCGACGAGATCCAGCAACGTGGAATAATTGCAGTGAGGCTACAGGTATTGTACAACGAGGTACCTAACTGTCAGACTGTTAGTCAGATAAGGGACCCCCCTGGCTGCTTGCCTGGCACCTGTGCCCCTGCCGAGCCCACCAAGCAATGCAAATCGAACCCACTAAAGGTGCTTAAGAATGACCTAATTGGTCCCCGCAAATATCAATCTTTGGAAGCTACTTTTCTCCAATGCCAATTTTCTCCAATGCCAATTAATTCAGCCCTGTTGCCATCATCCATACATCTACATACCTACATAATACCTGTAGACTTTTTTCACAGTCACGCCAATACCTACCAACTATCACCAGCCCTTTCCACGATAACTCACCCCAAACAACGAGTAAACCCGCTCTAATATAATTAATTTAACACTTTCCAATTTGAACATCGCAAATGGCGGCCGAGCAAAGAAAGCTGCTTGGTAATACCAAATCCAACCTCTCCTATTTCAGAACCGTCTGGCTAACTCTCGTCCAGAGCAGCTCATGGGCGGGCCACAAACGTCGCGCTCATCCCAAGTCTCCCTCACCGACCCCAAAGTCTGCCGGTCCTACATCGTCGGCACCTGTCCGCACGACCTATTCACCAACACGAAACAAGATCTCGGCCCGTGTCCCAAGATCCACGCCGAGTCGCTGAAGACCGAGTACGAAGGCCTGCCCGAGCCCGCGCGCCAGAAGTACGGCTTTGAGATCGATTACGCTCGCGACCTGCAGAAGTACATCGAAGAGTGCAACCGCCGTATCGATGCCGCCCAGCGCCGCCTCGAGAAGACCCCCGACGAGATCCGCCAGACCAACGTCCTGCTCAAATCCATCTCAGACCTGAGCTCCACCATCAACTGCGGCCTGCAGGAGGTGCAGATCCTCGGCGATCTAGGCGAGGTCAGCCGCGCGTACGAGGAGTTCTTCAAAGTGCGCCAGGCGGCGCAAGCCAAGATGGAGCGCGAGCGCGAGCTCAAGACACTGGCCGATACTAGCGGTCCGTCAGGTCACCAGAAACTCCAGGTCTGTGACGTGTGCGGCGCGTACCTCTCGAGATTAGATAACGATCGTCGGTTGGCAGACCATTTCTACGGCAAGATGCATCTGGGTTATGCGCAGATGCGGAAGACGTACGACTCCCTGCCTAAAGATATCAGGGGACGTCCGCGTCCTTCGCTCCAAGACGACGGTCCCATGCGGGACGAGGGCTACGGTGATGGTGGGTGGAAAGGAGGGCCTAGAGGGCCTAGACGTGGCGGATATGGAGGTAGGAGTGGCCGTGGTTTCCGAAGCGGATGGTAACGCGACGGCGACATCAAAGCATGGGAAGGAGTTATTGGCGTACAGGCTTCAGTGGTCAGATTTAGACATGATATCACTATGGACAGGCGCACATAAAATACTTCGATTGGTTCTTGATAATAGAAGCCTTTTGCTTTTATTTAGTCTTTCTGGTATCTCTAATTCTCATATGCCTGGGCGGTGTTGCGCGAGTCTGTAATCCAAACTTCCCATCTCTGCAGATTATCCTTAGCGTACACTCTATTGGGCATTCTGTTTCTGTTTCTTTTTTTTCTTTTTCCTTTTTTCTTCTTCTTTAGACCTCACTCTCTGAGAAAGGAACACTTTAAGATCCAGGCTTAGCGTCCAGAGCGGCCATCTCATCATCCCATTTTCCAACCGGCGAATTAAGCTCAGGTAATGGGACAGAAGAATTCGTCGCAGCTATCGCATTGGTCGTCGTATCTAGCTTATTGGCTGCTGGCAAGGCCGGAAAGTCTTCTGCGGTGGGAGGAGCTTGTGCTGCTTTTTGCGATTGGGGTTTGTTGCCGTTTTGTGTCGTCGTTGTCCCTGACGTCTTATAAGCGCCGCCCCTTTCGCCGTCATGGTTAAAGCCTCCTCTACCTCCTCTACCACCACCTCTGTTTGGACCTCCTCTGCCGCGTCCGCCACGCCCTCTTCCTCTAAAATCATCGGGGCCAAACTCCCTAGGGATTGCGTCATTATCCCTCTCCGCAAACCTACTCCCAGCTATACCGCCATTGTTACGCGCGCCACGAATACCACCGTTTGCGCTCCGGAAGCCAGCCCTTCTATCTCTCTCTTCTTTAAGGTTTTTGCCCTCGTCCCAGCTGCCACCCTCCTTAGCGCCCATAGCCTTGAGTTTCCGCTCGCGATTTGCGGCGCGCTCGTCATCCATACGGCGCCTCTCCTCCTCACCTCTGCGGCGCCGCTCTGCTTCCTCAGCCCGACGCCGCCGCGCCTCTTCCATGCCTTTCTCATAAGCAATAGCGTGTGAGCGACTATCGCGCTCAACTTGCTCGAATCGGCGCGTCTTCTCTGCATTTAGGATTCGCATCTGTTCCATCTTACTCGCAAGCTCGGATTCAGTCAGCTTCTGACGAGGATTTGCGCCAGACGCCAGCCGGTCTGCGAGCGCCGTATTCTGCCCGAGTTTCACAGTAGCCGCTTGCGCTTTCTTGTCGCTACCCCCGCCTCCGCCACTACTGGTACTTTTAGCTGGAGAATCCTGTTGCTGCGGTTGTTGTTCCTGTTGCTGCTGCTGTTGCTGCTGCTGCGAATCTACCGCTGCAGGTTTCGGTGAGTGCTTGCGCGGTCGCGATTGGTGATGTGAAGACGACGGGGGCTGCTTCGCATGTCGCGATTGATTAAGAGATCGAGGTGTATGAGGGGTTCGAGTAGGTTGAATTGCCACCGTGGTAGGCTGCTCAGAATTCGTAGGCGGTAATTGATTATCGACTACCGGGGGAGCGCTTGGTTCATTTTTCGTCTCTGGCTCTTCTCGGGTGTCCACAGGTTCGAACTCGTCTGCAAACAGGTCGTCATCTGTGCGTCCGTTGAATTGGTCGTCCATGGTAGTAGGTTAGAGCTAGCTGTTGGATAATAAATTTATAAGTGAGAGGAGAGCAAAGTAAGGCAATGAAATGAAATGCAGCCAACGGAGAATAAAACAAAGCAATTGGTTTATGGTAAACTATTGTAGTAATGTTTAATAGTCTTAACGACACGTTGGGATATTGGGATATTGGGATAATGACAGAATGAAGGATAAAAAGTCAAGCCCCGCCACCTGATGTTAGGTACTTTTTTTGAGAACGGGCGGGCACACAAATCCCACCTTCCCCCAAGTCCAGCTGCCCAGAAGAATTAAGCGGAGAAAGTCCCGGCCCGCTTCCCCAGATAGCGGACCGGAATAAGTGGGCCTGGAATATACTTTACATAGAAAGGATAAAGGATATCCCCGAAAAGATATTTTCAATTACATTGTCGAAATTTCAAAATTATCATGTGCGACCGCGTCCAATTGGTCGGGAATACAAGCACTCGCTCTCTATTCCCTTTCTCTACCTACCATAACATAACATAACATAATATAACATAAATATCTCGATTTCTAAATATCGACCAAGACATATCTAAAGCTATGCGGCCACTAATAAAAGATTGATTCTTCACTACTAAGGCACGGCTTAGATGGCCGTTTGTTATAATCAAATACCTAATGGAAAGCAAGGTTGAAAGACATGTAAGTGAATGCTGGCAAGAGGGGGGTTTAGCCCTGTTGTGGGTATGGAAGATCATGTATAATGTATAATGATGTCTTTCTTTTGAAGCAAATGTTATTCATTATTGTTGTAAACTCGGACATTCCCCCATAAACTCAGGCCCTCGGGCAAACCCCCATGATATCCTCCAAGCTCATAGAGAACCTGTTGGCAATCTCTTCAAGATGGCTTCTTTTAATGTATCAAAGTTTTCTGCGATTTCAAGTCCATATCTTTGACATATAATCTGGACGTTTCCTCTCTTCTTATACCCCTCAGGACAAACAACGATGGCTTTCTTAGCTCTCGCGCAAAGTCCAAGCTCAAGCAGGCTTATGGGCGCTTCAGTTACCGGGTGGAAGAATATGACGACTATATGAGCCTTTTCCTGCATGTCGAGTTCCCATTCCACCTGTTCTCGAAAAGGTTCACATGTAATATCCTCTCGCCAGCTTGAGTCCCAATCCAATCGATACGGGTTGATGATGGTGAGGGGCAGATCCGCGAGCGATTCGGTTAGCACCTCGCGCCAGTCCCGGGTATCGTCTGTCTTAGTAGTGGTACCGGCCAGAAAGATAGACATGATGCCGTTATGGTCTACCCTTGACGGCGCAAGTATGATTTGGTTTCGGGGGTGAGTTTGCGGCATCTTGCTGATTTTTACGTGTTAGGCTGGTCAAGATGAATTGATGATCAGAAAAGGCTCTGGGTCGACAGGTCGAATGTTGCATAGGTACGGTTGGCACAGCCATACATCCAGCTAGCCAGCTAGCCATAGCCCAGTTTAATAACAGCTGTCTCAGCCTCACAGCATCAGCTCAGCTAAGCGACATTTGCATGCTTCTATACACTTGACGACATCCGCCTATGGTACTTTGCATATGAAGATGTATCTAACACTTCAAACTCACTACGAAGTAGCAGTCGAATTTAAGTACCTACTAGCATCTCTCTTCGGGAGCATCGAGTACTAGTATCTAACATGGTAACTACCTACCTAAGTATATATAATTATGGTTCTCAAGATGCTCTCAACGAACCCGAGCTCCAAATGGTCTTTCGTTTATACCGAATTATGCATCGCACGAAGAATAAAGGAATCCCACTTGATTGGCGTATATAACTTTACGACTACCTGAGACATTACGGACATAAATGATAAGCTCGCTCGTTTACACAACCCAATATTTGATATGTTATCTGCTATCTACAGTGGCAACAAACAAGATCCCCGCCATCTGAAGTGGATATGATAAGCCAGATTCCCCCCATTGTCCCCCTGGCTCACATATCCCTCTTGTTGGCGGATGTCGGTTCAAGATTACCGAATGTATAGGAGTAGCCACTCAATTTAATGAGCCGACCTGGTCTAGTATATACACCAAACCCACACCCGGCGGCACAATGCTTCCCGGTTTTGGTCACACTTCGTCTAAGCTGATTGCTTTGGGAAGGTCGAAAAACAAAGAAAGGGAGTAAGTGTTACCAACCCATGCGGGGAGCGCCAGGGGTGTGATATACCGGCTGGCTGGCAATCTCTAATGCATCCGTTGGACCCTATTTTGATAGGTGAATCTCGGAGGTGAGGCGACTGGAAGATATCTCGACCCGTTGAGGATAGAAGAGATAAAACTTGTCTACACCCGTGGCTAAATCGAAATTCCTATTACTAGCCGTTATGAATTCGCTCTATAGCACTTAAGGATCGCTTACTAGCCATCATGGGGTTTCCCTTCGGGAAAGCAGATACTTCCGATAAAGCCACATCCGAGATCAGTCCAGACCCAGCTGAGAGCGCGACACCTAATTCCTCTAACGAGAAGCTTCGTGATATAGATGTGGCCACTGCTATCAAAGACCTTCACCAAATTCAGCACGCCCACCAATGGGACCCCAACCTTCCCCAAGAGAAGCTCGATGCCGTCAATTCGGCACTTAAGCATGGAGATGTTAAAGAGATTATCGAAGCCGACTCGCTGTTTAGCGAAAATTCACCCTACGAGGAGGTGCGTGCCGCCGTGCGCAATACCGATGGCGGAGAAGTCGCGTGTACCGTGAGAGCCTGGATACTGGGGATGATCTTTGTCACCCTTGGCAGTGGTTTGAACATGCTGTTGAGCATGCGGAGTCCAATGGTTAACTTCCCGGCCATAGTGGTCGTGCTGCTAGTCTATCCTATCGGGTCTCTGTGGGCAAAGATCATGCCAACAAGAGTATTCAAAACCTTCGGCCAGGAGTGGACGTTGAATACCGGCCCCTTTACCATCAAAGAGCATGTGGTTGTCACTATTATGTCGAATGTCAGCATCGCATATGCATATTCCACTGATGCGTTGCTTGCGCTTCAAGGAAAGCCTTTCTACAACCTCAATCTAGGCTGGGGCTTTTCTTTAATGTTTACGCTGAGCTCGCAACTCATAGGAATATCACTGTCCGGGATGTTCAGACGGTTCCTGATATATCCTGCCGCAATGATGTGGCCTTCCCAGTTCAGTTATACCTCTCTTTTCTACGCCCTCCACGACAAAAGTAAGAGTGATGGTAGCAAATCCGACGGATGGGTGATAAGTCGCTATCGCTACTTCTTCATCGTGATGGGTGGTATGTTCTTCTACTACTGGATACCCGGTGTACTCTGGCAAGGTCTCTCCATATTCGCTTTCGTGACCTGGATTAAGCCAGAGAGCCCTGTTCTCAACCAGCTTTTTGGCGGGTTCACGGGTCTCAGTCTTATCCCATTGACCTTTGACTGGACCTACGTCTCTGCCTACTTGCTAGATCCGTTGCTAGCTCCGACATATGTTCATGTTAATACTCTACTTGGTCTTGTCTGTTTCGTCCTCATTCCGTGTATTGGGATGGCATATACTGGTTCCCTGTAAGTTTACGTTACCTTCGATTTTTCAGCATGGATTAGAGGATTCGCGAGCAAAGACTATTTCTAATGGGCTTGTAGTTACTCTGATTATCTTCCTCTCGTGACATCGCAGACTTACGACAACACGCAGAAGGCATACAACGTCTCGAAGATTCTTGGAGATAGTTTTACTCTCGACTTGGAGAAATACCGCGATTATTCGCCGCTATTCCTATCCGCATCATTGGCTTTAAACTATGGGCTTTCCTATGCCGCATTGACGGCGGCGCTTGTACACACTGCACTCTTCAACGGAAAGGAGATCTGGTATCGTTTCAAGACTGCGCGCAATCAAGAACCCGACATTCATCTCAAACTGATGAAAAAATACACCGAAGCCCCTGAATGGTGGTATTATGGACTTCTGTTAGTCTCCATTGCATTTGGACTCGCAACCGTGCTGGCGTACGATTCTCAACTCCCATGGTGGGGGTTCTTCGTTTCCGTCCTCCTAGCACTTATGTTCGTGATCCCTACATGCATGATATTGGCCGTTTCAACTATCCCGTTGGCTCTAAACGTAATTTCGCCATTTATAGCTGGCTTCATGTTCCCAGGTCGTCCCATTGCAGTGATGATCTTCAAGGTCTTCAGTACAATCACGTTAGGGCAGGCTCAGACATATGTATGTAAACGGATTTCCTCACTCACACTTCTTTCACTCGCGAGGGTCATTGGCCTTTAGATACATGACAGTCTACGTGAGTTTGGATTAAGAGAAATGACTAACACAAATCAGAGCGCCGACCTAAAGCTGGCTCATTACATGAAGATTCCGCCTAAGGTCACCTTTTGGTGCCAGGTCGTAGCGAGCATATGGGCCGTGTTCGTCCAGATCGCGGTGATGAATTGGACGTTAGGAGCTCTTCCTGATGTTTGCGCTGTGTGAGTTATACCACATATATACACGTATGTCTAACAGGCTAATGCATTTTTCGCAGTACTCAACCCAGTCATTTCAGCTGTCCTAATGGGCGAGCCTTCTTCTCATCATCCATTGTGTGGGGAGTTCTGGGGCCGGAACGCATGTTTGGCCCTGGATCTATGTACGTGAACTTCAACTGGTTCTGGCTTATCGGGGCTGGATTCCCGGTTGTGCTGTGGTTTCTGAGCCGTAAGTTGAAGATTGGCTTCGCCCGCCACCTCAACGCACCGATCATGTTTGGAGCTATGTCATGGTTGCCGCCAGCCACTCCGATCAGCTTTTCATCGTGGGCAATCTTCGGCTTGATCTTTAACTATGCCATAAGGAAGAGATTTGGCGGCTGGTGGAGAACGTACAACTATGTCACAGCTGCTGCTCTCGACGCGGGGCTTATCTTGTCGACTATCGTCATCTTTTTCGCAATAACTCTTCCTGGAGTTACTATTCCTCAGTGGTGGGGTAACGTGGATGTATTCAATACTCTTGTAAGTCTTTTCTGGCCTAACATGATTGTGCAATGTTAGGTTTGGTTCATATAGTTGCTGACCATGACAAATAGGATGCATCATACGTGGGGTGGCTTAAGACAGTGCCAAAAGGCGAGAAATTCGGACCGGCGACATGGTAGAGTCAGATTACAGCAAGCTGCATGTGTCTTCTGAGAGAGGCTTATGGACAAGAGTATAGTGCTCAAGCTAGATTTTCAGCTACTACGACAGCTATATCACAAGCAGTGGATACATATACACAAACGCAGCCTTTATAATTACTACTATGATTTCAAATAGACCGAAGAAACTGCATAGAAGATGAAAAGTTAGCAAGCTGCATCTTCAGTGAAATTTGCCTGTACATCTCCTTAGCATCAAATTCATCGAGACTGTGAGTCACTTCAATCCGGCTATAAATATCAATATTGTAATCGGTGGGAAAGGCCTATTGGATACATCTTACACAGGACCGAAGTCAGTTGTAGAACACTACTGAAGGCTCAAAGCAATAAGAGAGACCAATTGTTCTTTACACCCGAAATGGATCCTACAAATCAGTCAGGAGATATCCCGGAGCTGCCACAGTCTCCCCCTATTCAAGTCATCGAGAACACGCAGAAGATAGCAGATTTGTATCATTCTGGCGAGAAAATCTGGATAAGGAGTGACTTTGAACGGATTGAACACGAGCTTATGCACTGGCGAACTCAGCCATCGTTTAATATTCGTTGTATTGACGGCTCGGTGGTTTCTATTAGAAATCCGATGCTTGGGGTGTCGGATCCTATATGGTAGTTCCTAGTGCCATCTATATATATATGCGAGTTCCGTCAGGCTAACAAAAATATACTCTTGGTGAATTAGGAAACCGTTTGTCGAATTCCAGAATTACTGGTACATGGTCACAATGCAGTCCTCAGACGTCTTCTTCCGACGGATTCTTCCATACTCCTTTCCTTATTATTCGTATATGATTGCATGGAAGAACCAGTCATTCAACAACTTCACTGCCAGCGAACAACCCCCTTTAGATGCTCGGTTTAAAGAGATACAGCAGGTGTGGGAACGGTCTTCGACGTGCACCTGGCTTAAACACGAGCTTGCTTTCCAAAAAGGCTTTAGGAAGATCAATAGAGTCGTGTGCTTTGCCTTGGGGGATATGACTCCTATGTCCCACTATGACAGCCGTTATACAGCTCATGGTTCCGAAATGGCTAATAAGAAATTCAGCATGAACCAGCATGCGGTTGCTTTGACAATAGGGGCCGCATTTCGTTCTACAACAGCCGCTGATGTAGAGATTTTTGCCCAGGATCCGGATTATAGCCCAATGAGTAGGGCTCTATTGAAAAACTTAGGGATATCTGTCGTCGGTGAACACGGTGCCGGAGGCTTCAGCGAGATTGTTGACGATTCAGTCGTGTTCTTCTGCTACCCGACCTTCCCCATGAGCGAAATCATTGCCGACATTGCGAGACCGGCTATGATCATCGGGAATGGCCGCATTCACGTCCTAAACAACACCACTTACGGTTCACGAACAGATGCCGACACGGCTGCTTTCGAAGTCTTCCAACGTAGGCAACCATATCCTGCTAACGCAGAGACCCCGCGGGCCAGAGAAATGTGGAAAGAATACACGGAGCACGACTTCAAAATCATGGACCCTGATAGACTTACATTGGCAGGCCTAGAGTCGTTGAAGATATATATTCGAAACGATATAACAGGGGGAGCATGTAAAAGCGAAGGAAAGGGGAAGAATTGAATACATATTGAGAGTCCACATGTTTAATTTCAAATTATGTTAGCCAGCCTAGTAACTTGTAGAACTACCTAGTTAGGTACCTAAAGAATATCCTATGCTATAGCACCAGTCCTACCAAACTGTCTCTAACCCGTTGACTCCTACCGGACGCTCAGCAAGGGTAGTGATGCGGAATCCATGACGCAAGCCTTCTTCCTCGTTATATACATCGTAGTCAGAGATAGCAGTGTGAGCTGTGACTCTATTGTCCCAGAGCGACACAGTCTGGTCGTCCCACTTCACGCGGACTTGGATATCTGCACTCTGGGAGATATGCTATGAAATTAATTACATTATTAGAGACTGCCCTATACGAAGTAAACGTATATTGGGAGGAACGAACCTTGAAGAGGAACTGGAGAATCGCGTCGGACTCCTCGGTTTTCAACCCTATGATCTTCTTCGTAAACCCCGGGTTTATAAAGAGTGCTTTCTGTCCAGTGACCTAGGTTAGGAAAGAAATGTTAATACATCTATCTACAAAGTAAGGATATAAGTTTTGTTTATACTTACCGGGTGTACCCTTACAATCGGGTGGTCCGACTTAACAGGTTCGCGACGGACGAATTTGCCGTCGCGACGGGCACCCTCGGCTTGTGGAAATCCGCTGTGTTCGGCCCGTAGGCCCTCCAGCAATGCCTTGATCGGCTCCGAAAGTCTCTCGTACGCTACGACCTGAGACGTCCATGCAGTATCACCCCCCGTAGAGGGCACCGCCAGCAGTGTAAGAAGCGTTATTCCAGGAGGTTGGTGTTCATATGAGACGTCCGAGTGGTACCCGGTGGTAGTCAAGCGCTCCAAGCGTCGTTGGGCTCTGTACAGGTTGTCTGGTCCAAGATAGATATTATGAAACTCGATGGCCCCGTCGACGTGAGCTCCGACGGGCTATACGACGTTAAGGACTAGCACTTGGGAGTGCGCAAGTACGCATTACTTACGTGAACATGTAGACGGCCAAAGTATTGGCCGAACTCCTTCTGTTTCTGGACGCCAATATCCTTGAAGTTCTGGCCGCGGAACACTACGACGCCCCTTTCGGCAATTAGCAAAGCCAGTTCGTTCTTCTGCTCATCCGTCAACTCGGATAGCTGCAGGCCAGTGATCTCTGTGCCGACACGAGGGGTAAGCTTGGTAACGACAACACTTGGGTCGTCGAGCCCGAGTAGATGAGGCTTGGCTTTGTCCGCTAGGAGACCCCGGTCGACGAACTCGAAGGGCTCCGTTGGCGGGAATGTCGTTGATTCATCGTACACAGGCAAGTAGCTAGCGTACTTGTACTTTTCAACAATTTAGCTTATATGTATAGTTGTATTTCAATAGATTCCCTTACTGAGGCGTGTTGCGCTGCGTCATAAGCCTTGCTGAGCTTCTGCTCTGCCTTCGCCTTCAGCTCAGATGCGCTAGGTAATACGTCTGCGACCGAGGGCGCCATTATGAATACGGTTGAATACAATTTATTTACACAATCATCTCATCAGAAGGTTAACGCGTCGACTATATATATTGCTTTGGCATTGGCCTCGACCGCGTTATCTGATACTATGGCTGACCCCCGCATATTCCTCATATATTCCCCATATGATGCGATTCCAAAGATGGATGCCTCTCCAACTAAGTGAGCACGTCAAAGAGAGGTGGCCAAGACAAATCTACTACCCTACATTTAGCTACTTTGAAATACTTCGATCGCGGTTACTCTGTTGACCGTCTAATATTATTTTATTTAGTCACGTACCATAGGGATGTTGCCATCTATAGCTACCTTAGAATCCCGGTATATAATACCTTACAAGTCTACTAGGTTAGGCAATCAGCATCTTTTTGACCCTTCTTTAAAAGTATATCTCTTAGACGTAGAAACTGATAATAGTTGATGGAATGTGTAAACTTGAGGGATGTTAATTGTTCTATACCGTCTTTTTCAATCCGTTACGACAAAACTCTTACAATTTTCTCCGATTTACCAATGATTATTACAGAGAATATAAGAAATCTGATAATTAAAGATACATATTTTGTAATGGACTTCTATTTGAATAGACTTCTATTTAATTGCTATTTATCGTTGTCCCCTTTTTCATAGCCCTGCTAACCCTGATGTATAGCGGTAGCCTGCTACCGTTGTCATCGTTGTAAACAAATTTCAATAATACTGAACAGGGAACCATGCATAATATATAAGAGTACATGTCATGAGCATAAATGCACATCCATTATTCTCAGGTATGCCTCTTTACCCGTATACTTATTCAGGTAATCCGATCCCACCTATTTGGTCACATTTCCGGGCATTCTTATAGACCAAGGAGTTGGCATGTAACTCAGAGGCGCGTCATAACTATCCTAATTTGCCCCCGGGTCCTCGGCGGGTGTAGATACGACCGTTCCAAATAGGACCGCACTATTCGGTGTTGGAGGAGGTGCATATTGGAACATATATTCGCTTGCTGGAGTAAACGGAGTTTCTCCTCTCCAACTATTTTGGTTATCCATATCAACCTCGGTCTCAAGCCTTGGATGCTCGTAGCCAAATATCTTCAGCATATTTCGTACATTCATTACGACACCCTGGGATAGGTATGTATAAGTTAACAGGTCCTGTGCTTTTTGTAGATCCATCACCGTGACGAAGTTGAACGAGAAAAGACGTTCTCTCGCAAGACTGAAGGCCAATCGTGTGTCGTCCATATCTGTGCTTATGGTTCGATCCCATTGAGCATCTAAGAATTTACGCCCGGTGCACCTATAACACTCACCATCTCCAGGGGTATATGGTCGGATGATATCGGACCCGAAACTCCGTAGACAGCGCTCGGGAAAGGAAGAGTTGAATTTTTCGCAATAGACGAGTTCTTCGTCTCTATCGAAATGTCCACAAACCTTGTACTTCAGTAGCCACTGTTGACACATCTTAAACGTGGTTGAATGTTATTAACAGCGATATAGTAGGACCAATAAGAAGCTTAACTGGTGTTTAAAAAATAGCTTTTACCGTTGATCGGATTCTATGAAGAATTGGGGAGGTGCTGGCGATTCTGATCGACTTAATATTACCTGGTGTCGCAAAGATATTGACGTAGAGAGTTCGCGAATCAAGCTTGAATACAAAGATGCTTCGGTGTGTACCTAAATATTTGAGTTAACGTGCAGAATTAATCTGAGGATTACTTAAGGAATTCACCCGAATCAACAGGCGATTTGCAGTCAGTTTGCTTATTTCGCTGTTACTGTTGGATGTTCTCTAAACATAAATTGTTTAGGGGATAGGATTAGTTACTTATAGAAGTTCATACTAGTGATATTGGAATTGTTCCTATATGAGGAGTGCAAAGAAATGGTGCCGTGGCTTTAATTCAATGGCATAGTCATTTCTTTGACTAGGTAAAAGACAGCCGGAAGAATTCATTTGAGGACAATAGGAGTAGGTGTGAGAATTACAAAAGTGTAACGTAGGTAGGTACTTACCTATTCAACAACAAGGAGCTGATGAGATGGCCTAACAATAGGAAAACAATGCAATTTAGCATATAACTATGAACTTATGTAGGCGTGTATCGTCAAAGACCATGATATCCATAACGTAATTGCTCACTTCTTTTCTGACATACCTGTGTGCTAGTATTGCATAGGCCTTTCGTTTCTGCCATTGACCGATGTTCCCCGTCCTAGCCCTACCCTCTGTTCGATCCGCCACGTCTCTCGGCTTCTAGTAACGCATCGAATTCTTTCTGAGCCTGTTCTTTTTCATAGGTCTTGTTTTCTTTGTCCTCATCTTGCTCTGTGTATGCGAAGCCCTCCGTCTTTGGCTGACTATCCCGGGGATTTTGCGTCTTATCCTGCCGCAGTCGGCCCCAACCTCTTTCCTGGCCGGACGAATCTCCCCGAGTCCATTGAGCACTTTCGGATTGTGACTGTTGTCTAACCCGATCCCAAGAGGAGCCACCCTGGTAGTCACGAGTTTGTTGCGCCTCTGCTTTCCTTAACGCGGCTGGGACTGGCGAAGCATCGTCGTCATCGAACAGATCCGAGTCATCTTCTGTATGCCGCGAACCGGAACCCGAGGAGGACGTTGATGGACTCCTGCTGACTTCCGAGGCTAATCCGTCGGGGCTGCTTTCTGACTGACCAGTAAAGGTATCATTTCCATATTCTCGGGGCACTTCATCTCCCGACCCTGAAGAATATTTATCACGTGGATATTGGGGAGCGGGAATCCTCTGGGAAGACTGAGGATCGGGACCCGGAAATACTGGAAAGCTTCGTTGTGCCCCCTGATTCTCGCGCTGCATATGAGAAAGCCTGTTAAGTTTATTTCTTCTAACATCTGCGAGCCAGTCCTTTAGGCGCGGGTCTCTGGATAAGCGCGCGTCATATGATGTTTCTGCTACAGAGGTAAAGAAAACAAGGGATCCGATTAGGTTAAAAGGGAAATAGCAAAAGAACCGAGACACATGCCAGGCGAAGACGGCCTTAACGCCCGTAAAAATGGGAAGACGTTTAGTGGGAAAGATGCGAGGATTAAATTTCCCTTTCTTTGGCTGGTAGAGTGGAAACCTGAAGGATTGTCTAGTCCTCCAACATATAGAAGAAGCAATTATCAAGGAAACAGGGTGAATCCAAGGAAGGAATCGGGCTGAATTGGCGGCAGCCTCACTGGTAGCGTCAACTTCACCAGCAGTCAAGCGGCGCTGGGAAAGCTTAGACGCTTGAATAGTCTTGTTGGTAACGTAGACGACACGAAAGGATTCCCTCATGAATACAAGGGGCGCCCAAAACTGAAAGCTGGGTAATCTTTCGAAATGTATAGTTGCGCCATCCTCAAAGTACCTCCTTTCTATTTGTGTCTGTTGAACCCGACTTAGGAGTGGCCAAGGAGGGTTGGTAGTGAGGTCCGACAGTGAGCTATCATCGAAAGGATGGTCAATTCCATCATCAGACGACATTCTGCCGTCGTGTTTAAGTCTTCCAGACTATTTGTTCGTTGTCGGCCTACCCGAGTGAGTCTGTCATCTGACCTCAGTGTCTTGAGTTATGTACCTATTGATCGAAATTGAGAATCGTGAGACTGAAAGTAAAGAAAGTAAAGGCAAACTGTATTTGGTGGGGAAATGTAGCTTAGGAGCTTGGGCCACATATTACTTGCATCTAGGTACCTTGTATGTAGGTACCTATGTATTCCGTACTACGTACCTTGTACTATGAAATCAACGTCATTGGCCCACCTGTTAGTATGTATACCTGTGTATGTACCTTAGCCACAAATATTAAGGTAGTGGACCTAGGTAGTGGGTAGGTGGGGCAGTAAGGTCCGTGGCTGTTCCATTATTATGTACAGGGTAAGGTTCCATTGAAAGTTCCAATTCCAATTCCATTTTCTATCGCGACGCGCTTTGGCGACGCGTCTTATCCATCCAATTCAATTCAATTCATTGCTTTGCTATTCAACTTCTCGCACCCCTCCAACTCGCTATACAAAGGACTGTAACCCTCAAAGCTAGGACCTTATTCTCTACTGCCAACATCCAATTTTTTGTCATTCACCCACTCCCTCCCTATTTATTGCCATTGACCATCGGAATCGGATCAAGATCTGTTAAAGACGAATTATGATCAAATAAAATCCACCAAAATATTACCACCATGCCCCTCCAGAAATCCTTCTCGGAACAGAATGGCTCTTCCAAAGTAAGTCGACATTTTCATAATAGCTATAACATTGAATTTTCAATACAATTCATTTCATAAAAGCCTGACTGGATTTTATAGACCCGCCAGCAATGGAGCAAAACCAGAAGCCATTCAACCGTAAGCCATTCAACTGCTACTCGAACCACGCGAAATCCAGTCTCTAAGCCACTTCAGCCCATCTCCGAAGTCACCAAGAATAAGCTCAATGCCTTCAAGCGTTCAGATCTTACTAAACCCCATGACCAGGAGGCCGAAGTATCTACTGTCTGCGTTGAAACAGCCCCGAACGCTGGCACTGACTCGGGAATTCAAGTCGGGGAGACGGCCAGCCTTCCCGCACCTAAAAAAAGCGCGACTACACCCGTGAATCGGCTAGTATGGCAGGATCTTGTTGGAACGGTCGAAGCCGAAGAGGAAGAGGAGGGTTCCCCTAATGAGAAGATTGGCTGGGATACAAAAGAAGATATACAGCACCGGCTGAAGTTGTCCCCAGTAATGCCAGGCAAGAGAGGAAAGAAGCGAGCACGGAGTTCGTCGCCCGTATCGTCACCCGCATCCCACTCAAAACCTCGTATCCCAGCTGTAAACGTCGAAAAGTTGTCGCGAGCGCTTAAGTCCCCTCACGCCGACCCTGCACTGGAATTATGGGATCGGTTTTCTTTCAATGGATCCACGACTGTTGCACCGCTTGGAGCCATGAATTCCACATTGGCCCAAATTATGGTCTCATCGTCACCTCGACCATCGAGGACAGCAGGCGAGAGTGGATTACGAAGAGCTATCAGCTGTGGGGAGAATTGGCCCAAACGTCGAAGGGTTGAACGGACAGAAGCTGCAAAGCCAGTGGAAATCAATGTTGAAGAGAGTCCGAGTCGTAGCTCAAAGTCATCCATGGTTAACGCCTTGCTGCAAAGTGTGACGGGGGAACTTAACAGATCAAAAGCGATTCAGGCTCGTCAAGACGCGCTAGAGTCCCCCTCGCGCAAAAAAAGGTCTTCTCAGCCGGTAGCACAGATTCCCAGTTCGCCTACCAGACGAAAGACTTCTTCAAGGCCTTCTCCCCCAATATTTGCCGCAAAAAGTACACCAACAATCGAAAAGTTGGAGCCAGAAGAAACGTTGGTAGGCAATTCATCGGACTACGGGGACGACGATTTTGATGATGATACACTTATGGAACTCGGTGCCAGTATAGGACAGTCGTGCGAGGAGCCCGTAAAAGAACCAACGGTACTACTAACAGATACCGGACAAGCTCGGGATCAGCAGCCCAGCCGAGAGTCTGAGTCATTCGACGATGAGTTTAATGATATGGACGACGACATAATTGCTGCCGCTGAAGACTTGATAACACAAATAGACGAGACTCACACGCTACTCCAGCCTGGTATTGCTGCGCAGGAAAACCCAACCCCTAGATCTGATGACCTTGCTGAGGACATTTACGGCGATGATTTTGGGGGCGATTTTGATTTCGACGCTGCTGAAATGGCTGCTACGCAATCCGCCTCCTCTAAGCAGATGGATGGATCGTTACCTGTACGTGGGCGATAATAGGGGTGAATTGAATTTGGTTGCTAAGAATATCTGTAGGTAGCCAATAAGCCCAAGACAATTCAGAGATACCTAGTAACAAAGGTTCTTGAAAGCCAATATGTCGATGACTATGGACGTGAGTCAATAGAAAAGGTAAGTATCCATGCAAGCGACCCTCTAGTAATATAACTAACACTTTCAGATTCTATTTGTCCAAGTTGACCGAAGTAATATCATGAAAACTGTTCATCTTCGAGGTGATTGGGTAGATACTTCTGCAAGCCCGAAGTCCTACGTCCATATAATCGGCCAGTTTGAACCTACTGGGCAATGCATCATAGATAACTCCCAAAACATCCTTATTCTCCACCCAGATCAACTAATATCAGCCACGGTTGTAGCAGACAGCTTTACCTGCATGCGCCGAGCTGTCCTCCAGGATCGTGTCAAGGCCTCCAGTGACAAGACTCCGCCTCTAGTATACGGAACTTTACTACATGAGATCTTCCAGGAAGCACTCATGTCGAACAAATGGACCCCGCAATTCCTGGATGGTGTGATTTGTGATATTACAGAAAAGCACGTGGAAGACTTATATATGATTAAGGTTTCTATTAGCGATGCCCGCGAACATCTTAGGTCAAAAATGCCGGAGTTGCGGAGTTGGGCATCGGCGTTTGTAACTCGTTTTCCAAAGGTATGCTTTCTAATTATCCAGTGTTAAGGGCAATTTTTGCTGATCTACTAGCCCGATGCTGTTGTGCAAGGTCGAAACGGCGAGAAGGCAAACATGTGTGTTACGAAGCTCCTCGACGTTGAAGAGCACGTTTGGTCTCCAATGTACGGGCTGAAGGGCAACATTGATGCCACGGTCCAGATAACTATGAAAGATGGCGCTCAACGGCGTACCTTAACAGTGCCTTTCGAAGTGAAGACGGGCCACAATGCTACAAGTAACCACCAAGCGCAAACATCTCTGTACAATCTTCTGTTGTCAGATCGCTACGATGTTGAGATTGCTTATGGTATTCTGTACTATATGGAAACATCTCAGACGATTCGAATCCCGACAATCCGTAACGAACTTCGCCATATGATTATGCAACGAAATCAGCTCGCGTGCTATATTCGAGAGCGTAGCGTCCAGCTTCCACCCATGAAACGAAGCACTAACACGTGCGACAAATGCTACGCAAAGGTCTCTTGTTTTATATACCACAAACTTGCAGACGATGGCGATCACGAGACGAGCGGGATGAAGTCTAAGTTTGATGAAGTCGTTCGGCACCTAACTCCGACCCACCAAGAATTCTTCTTAAAATGGGAAGATTTATTAACAAAAGAAGAAAAGGAGAGCCAGAAATTGCGCCGGGAGCTATGGACCATGGTAAGCACGGAGAGAGAGAAGCTCGGACGGTGCTTTGCCAACGTTATCATCGAGGAGGGTTCTGCTCTTGAGGATGCCAACAACCCAAGAATCAACCGATTCCGGTATACGTTTATCAAGGAGAGTCCCACGTCCGGGTTCTCTTTTATGGACTCTCAGCTCGCGGTAGGAGAACCGATCGTCGTGTCTGACGAGCAGGGCCACTTTGCTTTGGCAATTGGATACGTCACATCGGTGCGGAAGCAAAATATATGTGTCGCAGTGGACCGTCGACTTCATAATGCTCGTGTACGTCGGCCAGGGTTCGATGAATCAAATAACCAAGTTTTCGCCAGTATTATGGAGGTAGCACCTGAAGGAGCAACTCCTGCTCAGTCCCAGGGTAAGCTGAAAGAAGCACCTCTTAAATACCGGCTTGATAAGGATGAGTTCAGCAGCGGCATGGCGACCGTCCGGAACAACCTGGTTCAAATAATGGCGGATGGGGTATTTGGATCAAGAGAAATTCGACGTCTCGTAGTTGACCTCGCCCCACCGACGTTCAAGGCATCAACAACACAATACACAGTCGCTGACCAAGGGAGCTTGAATATTGACCAAAAGAAGGCTATTGAGAAGGTTATGGGCGCCAATGACTACGCACTCGTCTTGGGGATGCCCGGCACCGGCAAGACTACTACCATTGCTCATATCATTCGCGCGTTAGTTGGCCAAGGGAAAAGTGTTCTCCTAACCTCGTATACGCACTCCGCCGTAGACAATATCTTACTCAAGTTAAAGGACGACAAGATGCCTGTTCTACGACTCGGCGCACCAGCTAAAGTCCATCCTGATGTGCAGGACTTCGCCATCCTTGCCGGACAGCCAATGACTAGCTTCGAGGAGATCCGAAGCGCTTGGCACGAAACACCAATCGTAGCGACAACTTGTTTAGGAGTCAATCACCCGGTATTCAATGAGCGAACATTCGACTACTGTATTGTCGACGAAGCATCCCAGATTACATTACCTATATGCCTGGGACCAATCCGCATGGCACGTACATTCGTTCTGGTTGGAGACCATAATCAGTTACCCCCTCTAGTACAGAATGAGGAGGCTCGTGTCGGCGGCTTGGATGTCAGTCTGTTTAAACTGCTTTCGGACACACATCCAGACTCGGTGGTGAATCTCGAACACCAGTATCGCATGTGTGAAGATATCATGACACTCAGCAACACCCTCATCTACGAAGGTCGGCTCAAGTGTGGCACGGAAGATCTCCGCCATCAGAAACTCGACATACCTCACATAGAGAACTTACGGCAGAAACACCATAATACAGATACCATAATGCGTCCCGGTACACCGCGATCATTTTGTACCGCATGGACTAATGACAGTTGCTGGCTGCGCAACCTTATAGATCCTGAGGCCAGGGTCCGCTTCATCAACACAGACTCCCTACCCTCATCGCGCGAGGAGGCGAAAGGAAATCGTATCGTCAATCCCACAGAAGCGCACGTTGTGGTTCAGCTAGTCGACGCCCTACTAGCAACCGGCGTCCCGGCAGCCGAGATTGGTGTCATGACGCACTACCGGTCGCAGCTCTCGTTACTGAAGCACGGGCTACGGGCGCACGGTAGCAGCATCGAATTACACACAGCAGACCGTTTTCAAGGGCGTGACAAAGAGGTGGTGGTTTTAAGCCTAGTGCGCAGCAACGAGAGCTCCAACATCGGCGATCTACTGAAAGATTGGCGGCGCATCAACGTCGCATTCACGCGCGCAAAGACTAAATTACTCGTTGTAGGCAGTCGTGGCACGTTAAAGGGCGCAGGGGACCAAGAGATGTTGAGCCGTTTTATTAGGCTTATGGAGAGTCGCGACTGGGTCTATGACTTGCCTGCCGACGCGCTCGAGAGCCATTTCTTCGACGAGTCGGGCACAGGTACACAGATTACAGCGACTGGAGGTTGTATCGTAGATCTTACGAGTCCGCAGAAACAACGGTCTTCCCCGGCAAAGAAAGTACCGAAGAAGGGCTTCGTGGGGGTTCGCGCCTCTCATGCTCCCGACGAAAAAGAAAACCAATTTCAGCACCCAGAGACCGGAGCCAAGAGAGGCAGGATCACGGAGAGGGCGCTCCTGCGAGGAAACCTTATCACGAGGGATATTTTCAACGACATTACAGACGGCCGGTTTTGATGTTCTTTTGTCACTGCCGTTACTTTTTCCTGGGAAGAGGCCGAGCAAGCATGTTACTTGGATGCATATACAGGATTTCGCATATCGCGCATTAGGAGTATCTGTAACAAATATCGTGCTTGAAGCGTTAGGACGTTTGGGTTATGGGAATTGGGATGGGGTGGGCGTTTGGACGAGCAGACAAGATTTTATGAGTATTTTAGTTGGTATAGTAAGATACCTAGGTTAGGTAGTCAGCAGTAGGATTACGTCGGGATGATGAAGTATAAGACGATATCGTATCACTTATTGCACGTTTAACATGAAATATAGTCGTTATTTTCGGTGCTTAATTTACTCCATCATTCGAGCGAGCGTATAGAGAAAGTAGAGGTGAACATCTACGCGATATCCGAAACGAGGCGGAACTATTGTCGTTTTTATTTCATAAATTTCGTTAGATTCCAATGCTAAAGCACCCTCAAAATAATTACCCTATCAATATCCCGCGAAAAGGGCGAGCGAGCCGCCATCGTGGAAACTGGCGTAAATGCTATCTTTATGCATGAGCGAAATTACTAGCTGCGTGGTCTTTAAATAATTATATATAAACTTGAATGAAACACACCTTGGGAAGAACATCTGGATAAGTCCGGCGAAAAGGAGGTTGATCATAATTGCAAATGATCTCATCGACCGCAGATACATTGTTTCCGACAATGTCACTTGATACCCTTACCTGAATGTATACGAACTGTTCTCCTCGACAGATATTACTTACCTACCGTTTTATTCTGATTAGTTAATAAAAATGGAATCGAAATTTTGGCTAGCCTCCGGGTTTGACTGGATGATGCGTCGTGGTCGAGAATCGTAGGATTTCGCTCACTGCTGAGTACCTAAGGTACCCATCATATCCATTTATTGGGTATCCTTATTTTTATACCTTCTTTCGCCGCAAAGCCAAAATATCGGCAAGCTTCAAATGCCCCTTTGCCCCCCAGCCGGAAGGGCCACTTTCAACGTCGGGTCGTACCGCTGTATACCAACCCCATGCGCGTCTGTCAAGCTCGCTGGTGCCGAGGTGCTCTGCCCAGCTGTCAAATAGAAGTCTTAAGGCGCCAAGTAGCCTCGCGACGTTCTCTTCTTTCTCTTGCTCTAACGCTCTAGCTGTCTTCCTCTTCGACGTATTTTTTCCCGTTTGGCCCGTCCGAGTAGACGTTCGAGAAGTGGACAACTCTGCTTCGTGATCTGCAGAAGCATTTGGATCAGCACCTTCGCCACCATCGTCAAGGTTGTCAACTCTGGCGGCAAAGCTCTTGAAAAGATATGCCCTGGCGGCTTCTGGTCTATGAATGGGCATTCCCACTACGCCCGCCTCATAAGACCGACTGGATGCCGAGCCAGCAGCTTCAGATTTATTTTTCGCGGCCTCGAGGTCCAACCCCCACACAGCCTCACCGCCCAATGCAGCTTGCTCTCCCGTAACCCGGAGTCGTTCTGCCAGTGCGTCCTTGAGGCAATTTCGTATTATCCTCCACCGATCAGGTCCTAGCATGATGCCCCCATACCAACGAGTCATTACCACAAGAGTATTAATAGCGTTTGATTCTCGTAAGTTCTTTAGCAAGAAGTCGCCGCATCCGCTTTCACCGTCATCGAACGAATCTTCCCTAATTGTAGTTGCTCCGAATAAATTCGTCGGTACTTGAACACGATACGCCCAGGCATTGTGCGTCGCATTCTGCAAAGATGGTATCGCCGTAAATAGCGATTGTATACTCGACTGACGCTGGGATGGCGCCGTAATCTGCGTGGCGCGAACTATGAAAGTTGATTCTTTCAAAGTGATAGGTTGACTAGCCGACCAAGTATTCAGTACAGGACCAACGGGTGATTCTGATGATGCATTTTGGTTAACACCAGTTTCCGTAGCCCTCGGTTGAGCGTCCGCATTGCCAGCCATAGGATCTCCAGACTTAGGGTGGTCTTCTATTTTTTCGTCCCCTTTCCACTCATAACCTCCTCTTTTTAATACTGCGACTTCACGGCCCATTACCTTCACCCTGGGCTGACCATGTCCCCAACCTTGATCATCGGCGCTGGGTCCCTTTTCTATGCCGATCGAGACTGCTTTGCTCCTCGAGTTAGCGCTCACGACCGCTTGAGCTAAGCTTAATCGACTCGAAGGGGGCTGCTCCGGCATCGTGTATCGCAATAGTTCTACGGCAAAAGCAAGGACAAGCGGGGCTCGGTTCGTCAAGAGTACGGTATCGGCAATTATCTTCTCGTCTGTCTCTATAGGCAATGTAAATGATGCTTCGAGCTCGTGCAGCGCAACAGGCTCCGGTCCATCAACGTAACCTATTTCACTCGACTGCCTGGCACGTTTGGATGCATTTCCAAGGGTAGACCCAGCCCGCTTGGTCGTCGATGGTGCGGTCGGATTCTTCAGTCGGGCTTTGCAAGCACTATGGAGGGATCGAGCAGCTTTGGTGTCTTTTATAGCGGCGGTGACATCCGAAAGGGGACACTCGGCTATCTGTTGAATACTGCACTAGTTATTTACATATTATCTAACGAATGTTATATTCCCAACCTCCATATTCACTTAGTACATACCTACGGAGGTTTTTAGCTTGGAGTTCTTTGATTCGACCTAGAGCGTCTTTCATGGGAACTCTCATGCCGATAGTCATAAGCCGAATGAGCTCCTGAAGGTCTTGTTGCGACGCCATACTCGCGATCAAATTTGAGTTGACGTGCTGTGCTACATGTATGATTGTATGATTAGAAATTAGGAATTGATGTGAGTATCGAGTTTGTGAAGTTAATGGATAACAACTTAATTTAGATGAACGCGTCGAAGATTGAAAGAAAGCGCGTCAAACTCTGATTATCTATCGCTAATCTCTGATCGTAGCTGCATTGCGTCAGCATGCCTTCCAAGGGATGTACCTAATGTAAGGGATGTACATAGTGTATGTACAACTTACATGTATCTCATCCCCCCTCCCCCCCCCCCGCAATTCCATTAGATGGAAAAACCCTGCAGTAGCAAGAAGTGAAAAGTGACCTAACCAGCACAGTGTATAAAAAGGAACAAGCCGAAATATGTACATGCATCTAAGTACCAAATCTATTTCCCCAAAATATCGGATCATCAAACCACAAAAAATTCCTCTTCACCAGATCTACATTGATACTGGCGTCACCGGCTCCATATCGCTCGAATATCATTACAATTGACATCACAACCGTCCTGTTCCCGAATTCGGGAATATTGGCATCGGCCTCTCGTAAGATGGATCGGTAGCCTATCGCGTGTCTGCCGCTTCAGTTCCCTCTTCTTAATATACCTCGTTAAGGCAATACCCCAAGCCGGGAACGGGACTGAGATACGTCCAACGGCAAGGGTAGTTAAGCAGATTATGATGCGGCCTATATACCCGCATAACCTCGCTACGAGGAGTCTAATGCGTAACTGTAGAATAAGGGGGAATAGCCTCAAATCGGTTGATAGCGGCTGTAGACGATATGCTACATCTAAGCGGCCGTCGTCATCACCTCCACCGCCGCCGCCGCCAAAGCAGCAACGAGCAGCTCCAAAGCCGTTCCCCTTTCAACCCGTCATATCAAGGCCAAACTCGGCGCCAGAATCCACACCTAAACCTAAACCTACGCCTTTTCCCTCTTCATCATCTTCGTCCTCTAAGGGGTCTCAAGACAAGAGGAGGCCAGTCTCAGAGCTACTGCGCGACTACTGGTTCCCTCTCTTCGGTGCCGGCGCCGGCGTGGTGTGCGTGAGTTTCTTCGCGTCGTCGCTAGTGTACTACTGGAGGACGCAGCCGCCCGAGCATTGGACGCCCGGGCAAGAGCCCGAGACGCCTACAGGCCTTCCGACGATCCAGTCGCCCCGGGAGTTCGACCAGCATCTCGACAAGTCCGAGTGGCGCTTCGGTATCACTAAGCTGCGGCGGCAGATCGGCTCCGAGTTAGCCCACGGACACGTGCTCGAGGTCGCCGTTGGCGCCGGTCGCAACTTCGACTACTATGATTGGAGCGTAGTGACCGCCGGTCTGGAACCCGCCGAGGAGAAGGAAGATTCAAGCTGGTTCGGCTGGTCCGTAAAAGGGGAAGGGAAGGAGAAACCAAATAATATAAAGCAGAAAGGGGTCCAACCCCAAAATGCAAATGCCCTACTCAGCTTTACCGGCCTAGATATCTCTCCGCCCATGCTAGACCTCGCACTGACGCGGATCCGGCAAGTCGTACCGTTCATGGCGGACCAAATCCCCAAGAAACCAGTATTCTCCAAGCTCGCCTCCAAGACGGCAGATAATAGCGAAGAAGGCATCTCGCTAGCCAACAACCATCTCCGGCTCCTCAAAGCTGACGCGCAGACATCCCTCCCGCCTCCCCCATCATCATCACCATCTTCTTCTTCTTCCTCCTCCCCTCCCAAAAAATACGACACCGTAATCCAGACCTTCGGCCTCTGCAGCGTGCGAGACCCCGTGCTCCTCCTCTCCAACATGGCCGCCGCCGTCAAGCCCGAGACCGGACGTATCATCCTCCTAGAGCACGGACGGAGCTGGTACGAGCTCGTGAACGGGCTTCTGGACCGCAGCGCGCGCAAGCATTTCGAGCGCTTCGGGTGCTGGTGGAACCGAGACGTGGAGCTCGTCGTGCGTGCCGCCGAGCGCGCCGTCCCGGGCCTCGAGGTCGTGCGTCTCGAGCGTCCCGGCTGGGCCACACTTGGCACCCACGTCCTCGTCGAGATGCGCGTGCGCGCGACCCCTGCAACGGCTCCCCCTGCTGCTGCTGCCCTTAGCAGCAATGAGGCGGAGCAGGACTCGACGACGACGGGCACGAGTTGGTGGTCGTCGCTACTATCTGTCAGTGGCAAGCCTAAGAAGGACGATTAGAGTCATCCATCCTAGAGCAAGAGACTTCTACTGCGTAAAACTCTTTGGATACTATAACGGAACATTACAAGTGTTCATGTGTATAAACGTTGTATAACTTATTCAATCGAGCCATCGCCTTGCTATTATTGGTACGATACCTGCAAGCGATATACCCCTCCAACAAACCGCAGCTTGAAAATCCCGCACTTAGGTAAATAGGTAAATATCATCGAATTTCACAATTATTGCATCAAAATATGATAAAAGTAAACTTTTGAACGGGGATTTTATTTCATTTTTGGGCGCCTTTTTCCTTTTGTTCCAATACGCCCTGACTTTAATCCGTCTAACTGGGATTTCTAAGCGCATCTAACCAGCCAGCCTTTTAATTCTCGCGGCTCTTTTCCCGGTCTTCTAATTGTACATATCGATACCCCTTTTCAGGAAATCGAGTGGCAAAGGACATCGCTATGTTACCCTTCCCCTGCATGTATTTTTGTTAACCGCCGACAACCGTTTCAGTCCGCTGGATACCCTAGGTCGCTATCATGCGACCCAGCGGCCGTCTAAGCGCGCTCCCCTCAAATAATATTCGTACATTGCCCTCCAGCCAATAACCAACCAAGTAGTATGTGAGCAGTAGAAGCTGAACCATTTAACAGGGGAATAAATGGCGAAATGAACTGAGAGGAATAAATGCAGAATGCGAGAAACCCAGCTGCGCCAACGTCATCCCAGCCGAACTCCTTTTTGAAACATTTGCGCGGCCGTCTCCCATCTCATCATACATAGCTAAGTACGTGCCAACTGCACGGATAGCTTGTCGTTAAATAGTAATAGAGTAATAGAAGCAAGAATTAAAATCAAGACTTGGCCAATTGAGGATATTCAGTAGTCGTCAAGTAAACCATCTAGCTCATCCAGCTCGACTGTCTCGGGACTTCTATCCCAGTCAAGAATGGAGTCTAGTTTAGTCCAGTTTTCTGCCTCTGTATCTTTCTTCACAGGTAGCATCATACTGGGTCGCATTGCAGGGCTGGTCATGAAAACCATGTGCGGTAACAGACTCGGCGCGAGAGTCCTGGGTGGTTCACCAAAGAGCTGTTCGTTTTGCATGCCATCATCTATCGGCGCTTGGTCAACGGGGTCAACCCGAAGTAAATGACCACTAGCTTTTCGTTTTTGTAACCCATCTGCTGTCTGTGTGAATTCCTTTTCATCTTTTTCTAAGGGCGGCTCATCCCCTCTTGGGTTGCGCGGCACATTGAGCGGCCGATGGCACCCGGACACTGAACCCATTGGGGTACCTGGCATGGGAATATCCTCATCCATATCATCCAACTCAGGCGACGAAAGATCAACTTCAGGTGAGAGGCTAAGTTCTCTTCTTCGGTCGCAATCTGCATCTTCGGATGTGGAAGCCGAGCTTGATAGCGATGGTGTAATAATAGCACGTTGGGCTGTGGGGTCTGGAAGAGGTAAATGGGGACATGTGGTCAGATAAAAGTACGTGCGCCTTGGGTGGACGGTCTCAAGCTCCTTAGCTAAAGGACAGGGAGCTACAGCAGACCAACATGATCGCTTTAAATATGTGGACAGTCGAGAAGAAATGATAGCGCAAGGGTTCGCAGATCTAAAAGCAAGTTAGCTATGAAACATCAGGTTCAATAGGTATAGGTAGATTCAACTTACTGCTGAACAATTTTGACCTGATCCATGAGGGCGGTAGCTAACTCCTTGACCAAGTGAGGCCGATTGTGAGTCTCCTCTAATCGTACGATAACAGCTTCAACAATCTCATCGTTTATGCCCTCTAGATCAACCTTCTTAATCTCCAGTGATTCAGATAGCTCAGACTCGTCCATCTCAATGGAGACTTGAAGACCAGGCGAGGGTGGCGGGGTACGGTCATACTTGATAGGGCTGGCAATCCGCTTTGAACTGGGTGCAGCTGAAGAGGGTGTAGAATCGTTGTAAGACCTTTTTAACTTCTTATTCGGATGCGATGAGCTCTCAGAAGATGATCTAGAGGATGCCATGCTGTGGTTATTAGGCGATGATCGATTTACTGGGATGTGAATTCCGAGAGACGGCAGCGATAGCGATTTGCGACGGGTATTGTACGGCATGGTGGGCAGACAAGATAGGATCAAGAACGGCGCAGATATTATGAATTTCTATATCGATTGCTGCTGCATGGAGAGAACGTAGTGTTTGTAGCTAACTCGCAGACGGTACCTCAACGATAAGAGGTAAGAGGTAAGTAAAGCAGGGGACTACCGAGTGTAGGATTGGGGAAAATTAAGGAAGATAAAGATATCGTAGTAGGGGTCAAGGAATGCGAGTACCAGGTAGGCGAGGGGGGGGGGGACGAGGAAAGGCGGTGGGAGAAACAACGACGATATCGCGACGGCGATGTTAAACTGACGAATACAAGACAGGGAGAAGCAAAGAAGTGGCTTCCGTTGGACTGGGGAGGGAAGGCGGCGAGGTGGCTTTAGAGAGGTTCCTACTGTATATTTTGAGTGGGAATGGGCGTGTGCGTGACGAAGAAAAAAAAAAAAAAAAAAACCTTGAGAAATGTTCCTCACTCGGGGGGGGTTGATGGGACGGCGGGCACTGGGGGGTTGTGTGCAGGGGTAAAGAGAGGTACAAACGGTACTACAGTACTGAACAAGCATCTTGGTACCCACTTTAAGCAAGGCAGTGGACGAGGAGGAAAAAAATATGGAGTGAACTTGGTCGTGACATGCTTGAACTAGCACGATGAACTCGAATTCCACTACGAATCCCATACAAGAATTGAGAGGGACTGGTTGTCACTGCAGAAATATATTATGTACCTCTTGGCCCTAGCGTTGTATTCAAGGATAATCCCTTGTACATCAATTGCCCCATTTAGAGATGCTTAACCAATCAGCTTCAAGCTTAGCTCCAACGGCTGGTTCAAAATTTGTCTGGCCGTTACCATTAAGAGAAACCAACCAGAAACTTTTTTTTTTACCTCTTCAATTTTAGGGGTCCATTGTCCGTGCTTCCGAGCTCCCTCGATTCGATATCCATCATATTACGCAAAGGACCTATTGCACATAAAGTAAGATATACATGTAGTTATACATATTGATCTACATCTTCAGTTATTGTACATATATATGTATGTATATTACAAGGTTGCAATTGTGACGACTTTAGTTTGCAGAGTAGTCGGTGTCAGATTTGCATGATCTGTTTACTTTCAAGATCGCAGCATGGGGTGTTTAACCCAGGAAAAAAGAAGCGGTAAGCAAGCATAGCATGTACGTAGACTTGTAGACATGCAGGCAATGCATTGTGCAGATTGACGACCCCAAAGCACCAAAATTAGGTAGATTACCTAGGTAGTGTACATTAAACAGCTAAGAGGGTGGTGGACTCGTCAAACAGCCGTTGCCTTCTATGTAACTTACAGGTAACCTACTTCCATTCACCACTCAGTACCTAGGTTAGGTAGGTAGGTAATAATAACTTAACAATACATAGTTCTCCTTCCCAATATCCTGCTTCTCACGAACGTAAGGTCCACTTTGGATGTTTGGATATTTGGATATTTGGATATTTGAATATTTGAATATTTGAATATAAGTACCTAGACCTAGGTAGTGGGGGGGAATATACTGTCATACAAGCCTAACGGGAAAAAAATATTCAAGAAAAAAAAAAGAGCAAGAAATCTAGGTCTGGGCTGGTACGCGCGGAGCAAAGCGGGCGAAAACCCGGTCTAGCAAGGGTATGTACATGCACACTGTGGATATACATGACTTTGAGCTTGACTGATACCTCATCGATACCCGATATTCCATTGTTAGCAGTGTTCAACAACAGACACATGCCTATGCCAGATTCCGTGTATCGATCCTCCGCGTTATTTTAATTTGCGAAGGGGAATTATGATTCTCACTTATGTGTGACGGAAATCTTACTTCCCCCTAAAAAAGACAAATCCAAATGCCGGGAATTACACGTTCAATTTCAATATTATGTAGGAACTAGAAAACGGGTTGGCTGACTTGCATTGGCTTGTTTAGGTATCGAGGTAAGCCAAGTTAGCCAGCTATCCAATTAAGTCAGGTTGACGCTGCCTATATTAACGCCGTACCAATCACGTACACTCTAGCTTCCTGAATTGGTTGATGGCCGGAAGATTCCCGTAAACCGCACCAACGTGGTCCTAGCACCCGGTATATGTACATAGAAATATGTATGTACCTATGTACCTAGATACCGTAAAAGTACCGCGCCTAACCTCTTCTATAAACAAGACTGGACCAATCTGAAACTTGCGGAGTTGCATGACGTTATGTAATAAAAAAAAAGTTTGAGTCCCAAGTCGTACGTTTCCGCTACGCACGCGAGAAACTTCTCAAATACGCATCATCTTATTGGGTCATAACCTGCACATCGCTTGTCAATCCTCTGCTCACCAGAGAGTCATGATTATCGCTTTCCTCGTTTCATAAATTCGTAATTATTATTTCCATCTTAAAAGCCTCGTCTTTTCCTTATAAATCTGATAAGATAACTTTCGATTTGGTCGCATGTCGAATCATATCATCAATGCCCCTCCCCCTCGTTGCCTACTTCAGGTTTATCGAGAGCCTGACTCGCACCCTGCCTAGGCTTAGGTACCTAACCAACCCCTCAACCCTCAAAGTAACCCGTCAACGTAACTCGTCATTAAGCGATAATAATAATACCTAATACATCTCACAATAATATGTAATGCCAACACTTACCTCCTATATCTGACCACCCCAATTTCTATGATTTTTATTTGATGCACGTCGTCGAGTATTCCACAGTCGGCCAGCCAACCAGCCAACCAATGAGCCAACTAAAAAAAGGCTGGCCTACCTCATTCGGAAATCCGCTGCAAGCGAGCGGGATCTCATGCCTGTAACGCTGTTTTAGGATGCGGGGCGATTGAGCTGAGATGTGTACTTTAGTACATAGTAAGGCCAGAATGTACTTTAGTACATAGTGGGCCAGACCGTGCGATGGACCCTTACAATAACTGTCCTAGATCATTAGCTCCACTGAATCCATCGGCCATCACAGTGCTCGGACAGTATCCAGGTAGACTGTATCTGCCAATCTGCTTACGACATACATACCTCATCAGGCACGTACCTCGATACGATCAAAACGATCAATTCCACGTGCCGATCACCGCGCAATATCGCACAGTACCGAACCACTCACCCGGGACTGCCGGTCTGCTAGGGCGCAGGCCCAGGAGGTACTAGCTTAACTACCAGAACTACTTAACACTAATAGACCTCGTACTCGATGCAGCTTCGGATTTTATCTACGTACATATTCCGTACCTAGGTAGTTATGTGTATATCGTAGAAATCCAGAAGGGAGGCGATATGCAAACAAGCCTATCAGCTCAAGCCTTGCGATCAAGTCAGAGAAGTCTCAAGATTCAGCTCTTTGGTCCATGCCGAAATGACCATCCGGTCCGGTCCGGAGAATATCTCGGTACGTTAATCACATAATACGCGCCTTACTACAATCCGACCTAGACAGGACAGTAGAGGTATTTTTTTCATATTCACCACTCGAACTTTCGGAGTCTTGTCCGCAAAGTCTTTACATCTACAGCCTGTTTTATTCCTCCAAGGCTCAAAAGTCATACATAAGGATATAATAATACATAAGAATATAATTTAGATCTCCTCATACTCGTCCAGTCCAGGATAGCCCATGGTTTGCTGATCTGCCGGCAGCCGAAAACTTAACTATGAGTGCGACAGCTTGTCACATCAGGACGCTGAATGTAATGTTACCAGAAATCACGGGCGTAGTACTACAGTCGGTGGTCTGCTGAACTCGACCCAGTTTAAGTATTTCAGAGGCAATGTTGAAATGGAAAATTCTCTCATAAGACGGAAAATCCTTCATGTCCGAGTGGCGACCGATTCTCCAAATGTTATTACATTGCATGGTATGTTAAGACGGGGCCGGTTTCTCTACTTCATCACGGACACTCTCTGAGTTATCTTTTTTTTTTTTTTTTTTTTTTTTTTCACTCTTTTCTCGTGACCAGCCCACTACTCGTCTAACCTAGTACTGTTGTTACGTAGTTGAGAACGCGGTAATTTCGAATGCGTTACCCGCTTACTCTATTCCGCATAGGCAAGTTATGGCACCACACATGGTCCACCATCTTAAAATTAACAGGCGCTAGTGAGCCTATCCACGCCGTATACATAGAGAATCGTTGAGGAGGGACCTCTTTGTTACCTAGCTATTGTTACCCAATACTTGATCTGCCGGATATATGGCTCCCATAAACTCTAACGAGAAATGAATGAGGGCCAGATCCACATGGTTATGGAGTTGACGAAAGGGACTATTCCGGGCTTAAATCAAAGACAATTTCATTAATGGGGGCTGACATCTTTACTGGAGCGGAAAATCTGCTCAAGGAGAAAGGCCGAGATATGATTCTGTTATGCCATTCAAATCAGACAACAGGTCAGATCCTGTTCTGGGAGCCATAGACGATTCGCTTTCCTCTACCAACGTCCATCGTACATAAAATCTAGAACTAGAGACTAGAAGTCCATGCAAAGGTTCCCCCTGTCCTCTCACGAGTTGGGTAATATGAGCTTGGTGCTTATGAAATTTAAAGGCATGTTTAAAATCTTCATGTTTTCGTTGAAGACTAATACTCCCCTGGGTCACGGCTCTTATTAACAACGCGTCTCACCCGTCTGACACTCTTACGGGCCGGACCGCGCTTACGGAGAGGAGACCCGTGTTTGTGGAGGATCTCATAAGTTAAAGAGGTAGTTATACATTTGGGTTATTTAGTTGAACTAGATTTAATCTTGATAGGATTATGTATGTGTATAACAAAATCATCCCGTTTAAAGATTTGTCTTATGTCTATGCCATGTTGAGACTATGCAATATCATCGTCATCTAAAGTGTTAGCGGAGTGACAAGCCATATCTATCATCAGGAATCGTTCAAATTATACTATCAACATACGGTTATAACTTTTTAGTTCTCATAAACAGCACATGCTTTAACTATCGAAATACTTTCTTAGATGGTAAACACGCGCCTCAGCTTTTATACCATGGGTATCTCTTCAAATTACTAAGAGAAAACTCATATGCCATTGGAAACGTAGCATTAAACCTCTTGCTGGGAATATCATTAACTTATTTCGAATGGAGAAATTATAACTAATTGTTACTGTAAAGAAAGAACATAGACTCGATTATATTCCCACTTATATCAGCAAACCAAGGCCTCAAAAGGCCTCAAAACATACTGTTCCAAGACTGGTGCAAATCACTAAGCCAACCAAGTCTATATGAGAAACGCAGTTCGCAGTTGGTGATATGGGCCTTAGCTCAATTGCTACTAAGAAGTAAACTAACCTACATTCTCACTGGTGACGGTAGCGGAACTCAGTACCTACCTACCTATAGGCATCCAGTCTCAACCCGCTAAATTCCAAAGCAGTACGCATTAAGAGGTAACCGATAGTTGTATTCTTATTTGAAAATCATTAAGCCATGAGTAACATGAAACAAAAAATATAAGAGTTAGCGGTAGTGTTTTCTAGAATCTTAACTTAAATAATGTCTAGTAGGAAGAGCGAATTTTCTAGGTTAAAGAACTGTAGGAAATGAGCTAAGAAGTATCATTCTAAGACATTTTAAAATTTGGATATTTTAATACATGATTCGGTGGTATAAATTGTACTACCTTATCATAAGCCATTCAAAGCTGTTCTGTAACTTGTAACCTTAGATACCTTAGGCATCGCGAAGTCTTGTTTGGAGGGGTTTTATTTTATTTTATTTTGTAGGTACTTGCTATACATATGAAATAAATTATGAGATCTATAGTAATGGCAAGTTAAAGCACTTGCTTAGTTCCGTAACAGGGCCAGTGTCCTTTGAAATCATTCGGCTTATGAGGGTCATATAATTAGACACAACAGGGTATGTTTTTTTTTCCTTTAAAATTTCAAAAATTTTAGAAGCAATTCAGATTATCTATCGTCATGGTCTTCCCTACGCGTGTATTTGTGAAGATTCATATTCAGCTTCGCACGCAACAAATCCCTAGACGAGCAAATCTTGGCATCTGGGGTGCGTTTAACGCGGGGAACGGGAGATAGCGAAGTGCTTCTCACCCTGAACCGAAGATATACAAACCCGGGGGACGGGACAGGTTTGGTTAATGATGTAGGAAATATATATTAATAGCAAGCGGTTAAACCATGTACGAGTTGCCGAATTTACCACGGAGACCTTCGCGCCGCGTTCGCTGTTCCTTCTCCGATGCCTCATTCGCCAGCACCCGTGCTCGCAGCTAGTAGAATCTGGCCTTATGCTTCTAGCCTGCTCTTGCTCAGTGCTGTGAATGGTGCAAACCATCTATAGATACTATATAGAGTATACATATAATGGAACAGGGATAATATTGGAGAAAAGGAGGCTCTAGAACAACTGTAATGATATATATGATATATAACATCTCTAGAGATACAAAATAGCCCGTCTCCCTCAAGGTTTCTGTAGAATCGTAGCTATAACTCGGATTTGAGACTACCAATAGTTACCTGGCCGTATTTTTAACCCATCATGAAGCTTTCAAGTTTTGGAGCCGCCACCGTTTTGGTATCAGTGGCATCGGGTCATACTATTTTCTGTCAGCTCAAGACTAACGAAAAAGCATATCGTGAATTCTTCTTTTTTAATAATGGTTAATCTTTGAAGAACATTCTAACGCCTTATAGCCGTGTCACATGCCATCCGAACGCCCACGTACGATGGCGTATGTATACTCCCATTATTGTAATATGATACATTCAAGGATAGCTAACCCTAAGTGTATATCAGCCGCAAACGGATGTGAATAACAACAACTTGGCCTGCAACGGCCCTCCCAATCCGACTACCCCTTCGGACAAGATCATTGATGTAAAGGCCGGCGACACCGTGGGCGCTATCTGGCGCCACACCCTACAATGTGAGAAATCCAGTATACCTTAGGTACTCAGATGCGATCTCGCTAACCGGCAAAACAGCTGGAGCCAACGATGTCATGGACCCAGGCCACAAAGGCCCTGTCATGGCATACCTCAAGAAAGTCTCGGACGCGACTAAGGACAGCGGTGTCGGCGGTGGCTGGTTCAAGATCCAGGAGGAGGGTTACAGCAATGGCAAATGGGGCACTGACACTGTCATTAACAACGGCGGTAACCAGCAAATTAAGATCCCCGAGTGCATAGAGAATGGACAATACCTTCTTCGTGCTGAGATGATAGCTCTCCACGGCGCCAGGTCCCAAAATGGCGCACAGCTATATGTCGGTTCCCGACGAGATAAAACCTATGCGATATTCAGATCGTGCTAACACAAGAGTTGCAGATGGAATGCGCTCAGATTAATGTAACCGGCGGCAAGGCAACTAAGAAGCCAGCAACGGCGAGCATCCCGGGTATCTACAAGGTATGTATAAGCTAGGTTACTTGTCAAGTTTAGTTTTCTAGAGCGAAGCGACTTTGACTTTCTTTTATATCATTAAATCGACTAACATATGTCTATAGTCTAATGACCCCGGCCTACTTATCGACATCTACAGCAAACCCCCGGGAGCCAGCAGCCCTTACAAGATCCCTGGTAAGTAATGCCAGGTGTTTATGGGACAATATACAGGGAGCTAATTTGCTTGTACAGGACCCTCTGTTTTTACTTGCTAAGTGGTTATCTATAGACTATAGGGGGGTTGATGCTATGCCTGTTAGGAGGGGGTATATTTGTGTAGTTGTCTCTTTATATGCTAGCCCTGAGCTACCAGTATATAGTTGAAATATCTACAATAACCCCAGAGAATAATAGCAATGAGGCTTTACGTGATGATAGATGGGCTCGAGGATGCTATAGGCTACTATTGTATGCTTCCGGGTTCCATCAGACTGTCGGGCTGAATCTTATATAATGTGGCACACTCAAGAAGTTAGGTATTCTTTTACTTGTAGGGATAAAATCCCTCTCGATCTATTTTCCTTTCAACTAAGGTAACCAATACCAACACCTCTACTGAACGCCCCAAACACCAAGGACATTCTTCGTTCCCCTCTCTCCAGCTGTCGCAGCCCGCGCCTCAAGCCTCTTTACTCTCCTGACGAGCATCCCGACACATATCGGCCCAATAATAGTGCACAGGACGATAGCCCACGTTACAATGAGAAAGAGCTCTGAAGCGCCTTCGTTGGCGCTCTCCGAAGGTTGCCGGAAAACACCCTTACTCTCCGCTACGGCTGATATTAGGAATCCGATCTCACCCCTAGCTACCATCGCACTTGATACTATAGCAGCTGGATAGAGCGAGAGTGGCTTTGCTGGCGTGGTAGTTCCTTGTAAGCTGTCATCTCTTCTGGATGGGGGTGCTTGCTGCCGTGGCATTTCTCCTGATGAATCCACGATACCTTCTGATAATTCATTCTCGACAGGTTGGGGAGTAATAACAGCAACTGGCTCAAGATGGACTCCTTCCGTAGACACTGTATTTTTTGCTTGAGGAGAGCTATTCGCCTTTTGCGGCCGGCGAAACCTCGAGAAAAGGGCTCGATATCGGGACGAGGCGAATGAGGCGAAGGCTCTTACGAGTCCGCTGGCGGAGAGGGGAAATCGCACCAGCCATAAGCCGCATATTATCTTCCCAATTGCCATGAGTATGCCGTAGATAACTCCGCGCCATACCACCTCTCCTGAGAACATGTCAGAGACAGGGATAGAAAAGCCGATAGAGGCGAAGAAGAACGGCTTTAGGATTCGAGTGACTGCTTGCGAATAGTAAGTTTCGTAGACACCAAGAGTAATGTGCCCTGGCTTTTGCTGCTCTGACGTCCCCTCTCCCTTTCCCTCAGATCCGACTCTTTGCTGCTCTCGAGAAGATACAGCACGATGACTTCTTGGATCTTGCTCGTTGGCCAAGCCCTCATCACTGCCCAGAGTATCTCCCCACCAACTAACCACGATACCAGCAAGATACGCAGCGAGAAGAACAGACGCGCCCGCAAAACTAGCGCCCACGACAAGGACAACCAGGAGAGCCGTCTGTGCCACAAAAGCAGTCTGCTTCGAATCCAAGAAACTCCATCGACACCACCCCGTCCTATCCATCTCCCCATCCCCATCCTCACCCCTAATTCTAGCCCTCCTCACCACCGGAACAACAAAAGGCCTCAGCACAAACCGACAAGCAACCGGGACCGCCGCCGCAAACGCAAGCGAGACCAACACCGGCCTCAGCACCGCATTCCCAACGTCAAACCTCCCCTCCCCGCCCAAACTCGACACAATCTGCACCATAACCAACCCCAGCACATCATCCATCATCGCCGCAGTCCCCAACACCGCACCCAGCCTCGTATCCGCCAGCCCGCTCGCCTCTAGCACCGCAAACGTCGTCCCAAGACTAGTCGAGCACAGCGCCGCCCCGGCCGCAAACCCCATCTTCCCATCCACACCCGCGCCCGCCTTCGCCAGCGGCCCCAGCACCGCGAACCCCAGCGCCATCGGCGCCGCCACCCCCGTCGCCGCCACTCCCGCGCTGAGCCCCAAGTTCCTGCGCACCGCGTCCGCGCGTGTCGCCGCCCCGCCCTCGAACACCAGCAGCACCAGGCCCAGATACCCGAGCTGCGCCACGGCAACCTGCAGCTCGGACGCCAGCCAGTTGCCGCCCGGCGCGCCCCACGCCACGCCGACCAGCACCTGGCCCACGAGCCCGCAGTACAGCGCGCGGTCGAGCACGGCGTTGATGGCGTTGAGCGCGAGGAGGAAAGAGGACAGGGTGAGCAGTTGGATGATGGAAGGTTCGTGGTACGGTAGGGAGGGCATATTGCTGGGGGAGGGGGGAGGGGGGAGGGAAGGGAAGATATGTCTATAAAAGTTTTGCTAATGATAATAAGTTGGGTGGAATATATTTATGTACCTACTATGGAATGCTTAATATAATAATGCCTGATACCCTTATGTACCTAGGTTAGAGATTTGAAAGAAGTGGAAATGATAACAGATTAAAATAATACCGACGCCATCCATGCCTAACCGCCAAGATACGATAATAACAAAGAAAGTAACGAGAAGGACGGATTGCCGAACTTATACGGGAAAAGGAGAGAAGTAGATATTATACTATACATATCAAACACAAGCTGCTTTTTGCTCATATTTACTAAATAAATAGGTAATCGTCATTTCCATTTTCATAAGCAAAATACGAATACAATTGCAACTCATCATGAAGCAAATCGTAATAGCACAGCGTCACATTAGGATAGACCCGTATTTGCCGTGCCTACCTCTATATATTAATACACGTCCCGGACCGGCACGCACCAAGAAAACAGATCCATTACGCTGTGGTCCGTAATGTGTGCCTCCTCGATCTTAGTTCTGAATCATACAAAGTTTCGTTAATTCACCGCAGACGCCATGAAATGCCACTCATCAAACATCCATCTCTACCGCGTTTTTGTTTTGCGCCACTATGGTATCGCTTTCTCAAGAATCACCTTCCACCCTCATGTGCCTCTCAGAGGTTCATGCTGTCCTTGTATGTGAGGCCTTGGTTGCTCAAGAGCCGTCGTGATTAATTATCATCTATTTAGTATCATATCGGGAGATAAACCGCCGATTGACGCCTTTTACTCTTTGTAATGAGTGGCTAGTTTAATATTTACTGATTGTGCTGTCTCGCAAACGCCATAAACTGGTCCGCAATCTGTTTTTTTTTTTTCAATACAATTAGCTTCAAGCCTAACATGACAGAGGGAACCGAAGAGGGAAGACGGAATACTCACATCGCGATCTGCCTTGATAAAAGGCTGGTCGAAGAAATGATACTTTTCCTTCGTTACCAGCTCCATAATCACCATCGTGAGACCGAATGGCTGGGGCCAGAAACTGGCAATTCTTTCTAGTAACACGCGAACTATCTGCTGGCGGATATCAGCCTCCTCAGGGTCATTGAGATCTTGGCCGAAAATGTCAAAGATGACATAGCTGAAGAACTCGGTGACGGGACTGTAATGGCGCAGACGATCGACCATGCTGCTAATGAGGAAATACCGAGCCTGGGGCTGCAGCTCGTGCATCAACAATGAAAGCGTCGCGGCATCCGGAGCGCTGGGAGTATAGACCGGTCTCTCTTGACGGGCCGACATAGTGGCGTGGTGGCCGAAGAAATTCACAATAGCATCAATGACTCTGCAATTAACACCGAGAAGGACATTGCCGTACGTTGTATCGCTCGCATTGCTCTTGTTAATGGCATGCGTAAGGTGGGCAATTGCATCCTCAGAAGGTGGGGCCTGGACAAGTTGCTCTAGGATTTCCAACATGCCAACATCTCTCAAGTACGATAGACTAGGAGAAGCATCTGCCTGAGAGTCCTGGGAAACTAGCTCTCCGGCTTCGGATCGTGGGCTACAGTTGAGCACGATGTTTCTCAATTGGGTGCAATGAGGAGAGATGCTTGTGCACAGCTGGGTGACATTGGCCGATATGTAGTCTGTGAAGTCATGAGCCAATATCACTAGTAGTTTGACAACTGCGCGGTAATATTCCTTAACGACATCTGTTACATCGATGGCTTTCATATGAGCCGAGACGTGTCTCAGAAGACATTTTAGGAGTTTGGTGTAAGGAGCCCAACCGCACTTAGATTCGAGCAGAAGGATATCAGGCATGAAGCGCCGATGTCCTATGAGGCTGAGCCATGCGAAGGCAAACCCGGGGAAACGTTCGGGATTGAGCTGTAATAACGTCCAAGACAGTCGCACTAGGAACTCTTGTCGGCAAGACTCGGGACTCGAAGTTTCCGCAAAAATTGAATCGGCGCTATGCAGGAGCATAGAGAACAGGCGGAGGAAGACTCTCTGATTGAAATGTTCGCCTCTCGTAACGTGGTGGTGATTCAGAACGACTGCGAAGAGAGACGTAACAGCCTCTAGGACAGGAACAATCCCAGTTTTAGGATCCTCTTGATCGGTATCGCTCTCCCTAGCAAAGACTGCGACCATCTTTACGAGAGCATCCACAGCCGCGAAGGCTTCGGCAGGGCTTCCTCCCGCGTGCAACACCTGCTCATAGTAATTAACCGTCATATCAGTAGCCCTTCGCGCGAAGATTATGAAATCGTCCTTGTTGGTGATGATGCTCTGGCTACGAATCTGCCTCACGAAGGCTACTCGCGCCTTGTCTGGTGCGTTATGGTTGTTATGGAGACGGACCCATTCGTCGAAGATATACTCGAACTGTTCCAGTTGCTCCGCGTCGTTTCGACTTTGCGGTTTGATAAGGCCAGAATTAAGGAACTTCGACTTTAGCCGCTGACTAATTTCAAGGTCAGGACTGGCGCTGATCCATTCCCATGCGACTTCCAAACTGCGTACAAAGTCTGCGAAGAGTGCCATGGGCCGTTCATTGAATAGAGTCAGATCTAGGAGTTTATCGAAGAACTCCAGGTAGCCTTCCTCCCTTTGTACTAGCATCTTGGACAACATGTTGTCAATGCTGTGTAGGTCCAGAAAGTCCGTCGGGAGTAGTGCCGTGATCAATGAAATATTAAGAATATTCTGAGGCGACTGCTGGTAGAAACTGATCTGTACCCGGTCATGTAGCGCGGTACCTGAGCTTGCAGCGATCTTCAACAACTGCTCGAGGATGTGGACAAGGCTTTCTAAGAAGAGAGTGTTTTCCACTCCGCTGAAGAGCAGTTGACAAATCTTTTCGGCAGCGTAGAATGCAAACTCGTCCGAGTTTTGGGACGTGTTGATAATGAGCTGAGTGAAGACATCAACGACCTCCAAGACTGGATGGGACCTAGGGAGGTCGCTGAAGTGCTCTTCGTCTGTCGAGGTTGTAGTACGTTTGAGTTCAGATAAGAGCCTCTCTACCTTTTCCATTAATCCTCTCCCATCCAAAGGATGGGCCGAAGGGCGACCATTAGTCATTCCACCATGTACGTGGGAATAGGGTAGTTGCGTATTTAGATGAGGGAGAGAAGGTGTCTCAGCCGGGGTAGCAAGGTTGGGTACAGAGCTATACTGATCTTGGAGGACCTCGTTTGCAATATTCCTGGTTGCATCCGACGCCGACGCGCCGTGAGTTGGTCCAGCTTGGGTGGTGGCACCTCGTGGCTGCCTGGCAAAATCCTCGTATATGGCCATTTGTTCCGCGTTCAAACCAGCCATATTGGGAGAGAGCTTGTAGGGATGAGGAATAGTCATCGCCCATCTGCTAAGACCAGGATCGACATATGGCTCACTGGGTCGTTGTAAGCGGTGTCGACGCCTTGCGTCTATCTCGCCCTCTATCATCTCTTCGATTTCTGGAACCGCTCGCTCCTCGGCTTGCTTTTCGATTACGCTGCACGCAAGCTCGAGGTTAGAGTTAACGCACATGATAATGGTACCCTCGGGAAGCGAGTGGGGCAATTCGCCTGCGGCGTTTCTCATATAATTAGTGATATTGGCTCTGAGAGGCTCTTTTGACGTAACCTGGGCAAGACTTCCGGCAGTGGCCTTGACCATATTGATAGCAGAGGTTCGGAGCTTGTTCTCATCAGGCTCGGTTGCGAAGTCTTTATGAATCATTTGCTGTGTACTAATCGCGGCGATAGTAACAGATCGATCGACAACAGGTTGAATTATATCTTGCAGCGCTTTCGTTACTGCATTGCGAACAATTTCGTGAAGACGGACGCTGTTAATAACCATCTCGTTTGTCGGTGGAATTGATAAGAGGCTGCTGATATCTGGGATGGTGACCGGGATGGGGTGCGGCGTAAGGCCGGTTGGGACAGAGCTGGCCATACCGTTCAAAGACATATTCTCAAAGTGTTCCAGCGGGTCTTGCGCACCAATATCAGTAACTTCTTCGACGGGTACACGGTCTTGAAGCTCGGTAGATGGTTCAATGCTCTTATGATCCAGGTTTAGATCTTTACAGAGCACCTCAATCTCGAACTTTTGGTTTAACTTTAGTTCGGCGTGGTGGTAGAGTTCGATAAGGAGGTGAATAATGTCCATCAACCACGGATTTGGCGGACGGAAGATGGATGACTTCGCAGCCTGAATTAGGACCTTGCACACAAATGGTACCACGACAACTAGTCTCTTGGTGTCGTGCGCCTCAATGAGGAGCTGCTTAAATGCAATATTCCTATGTTTAATCGGTTGATCTCTTGCTATAGTTAGGAGTCCCAACCAAGCCCCCAAATACTTCAGGTGGGTTCGATCAGTTGAGTTCTGCATCGTGCTCTCCGAGTTCAGCATGCGAGCAACGCTGATATAGGTTTGCCTCAAGACTTCAGACCACAGACCCGAATCCTGGAAGAGCTTCACTAAGTCAAGGTATACCTGGTGGTAATTTGGCTGCATTTTTGCCCGCTCTTCGACAAGATGGCTGGCAAACCATTGCTGGTGCTGATCTTCCAAAACCTCATGGATTTCCCTGAAAGTCGTTTGGAGCGAGGAAGTAGTTAAGTTATTGAGTCCAAATTGAATCCTGTCTTGTACATCGACAACAGGTTCTTCAAAGGTAGTCCCTTGAGGAGGCGGGTCGACGTTGATCGCTGCGAAGGGAGCTGCATGGGGCTCTGGGCCGTCAGTAGTACCGTTAGTCATCAAAGGTTCATTCCCTATGTGACTGGGAGTAGTCGTGCCGTTTTGAGCACGCCCCCGGTCCTCTTCATCTTCCAACACGACTTCTTCAGCCTTCCGATAAGCTTCAGTGCCACGTAAGCCAGAAATCTGCAGCAGTTGCTTACAGAGTCCTGGCCACTCCCTGAAACGAGGAAAAATCTGTATGAGAGCTTGAAGGCCGAATTTGTACATTGAACTATCGATTCCGTGATCTCTAACGGCCTCGAGAATCATACCCAATCCAATCTTCAGCGGCAACTCGGAGATTAACTTGTGGGATATTATACCGCCAAAGAGAACTGCAGTGGTAGCTAGTGCTTCAAGAGGGTAATCTATGAAGTGGGAGTATTCGTCGAAAAGGCCGTGGATCATGCACGCGAAGATATCCTGATCTAACGGAAACTGCGAGTGCTTGTACTCCTCAAGCTTTTGGACGACATACTTGACCTCCGATTCCTCCCCGTACATTTTCTTGTAATGCTCTTCCATCTTGACCACTGCGGCTGCTGGGAGCCCGTTGCCGTCCTTCCCATTGGCATCAATAATATCATCGTAGCCTTCACCGTAGTTGATGAGCCTGGGATAGGAAGTAATGCATGCGCGCTGAACAATAATCAACTCTGGCAAAGGGTTCCGAGGTAAAAAGTCTTCAAGAATTTGGAGCATGGCGAGTACGGTTTTGACGTGAAGAGGTGTACTTGTCTTTGCCACCGGCTGTCCATCTTCACCCCTCTGCGACTGCAATTCGAGCTCTGCCTTGATCATTAGAAATTGTAGTAGAGATTGGGAGATGGCGGGACTTCGCTCAGCATTGTTGTGGGCCCACTGAGCAAGATCGAGGTGACCTTCGGCATGCGCAAGGGCGGCAAGATCGTAACCGAATACATTGGGTAAGTAGACGAGCTCGTCTAGCCATTTATGCTTGATGACATGCTCAAATATGAGCGTCAGATCTAATGGCTTCATGGCGTGCGCATCAACAAGTCTTTGCGTGACCCAATCCCTGTCTTTCCTCCAGAGGCTGTCTAAGACGAAGTCATGATACTCGGACCTTCGATGCAGGAAGTTATCAAACAAAGAGGCTAAAGTTTCTACTGCCATCGGTGGCCACGGTTTCGGAACGCCGAAAGCAGAAACTATGAAAATATCAAGGTTCGGAACAACTACCTCTTGGAACAACCGTTTTGCTTCCGTGCTCTGTGACGCGTGTAGAGAGTGAAGTGCCACCTGGAAGATTGCAGACAGGGCCAAAGCTGAGACTAGAGGATGCTTCACAGCAACTGCGGCTCGCTCGCGGACTTCGGGGGGAGATTGTGCGTACTCGTCAAGCGTAAACGTTGGCTGGAGGCCAGGAATAGTACTCGCATCAAGCTCATTCGGGCTCAAGGATGCAAATGCACATATGAAGGATAGCTGAGTTTCTGGATTTTCCCAGTGAGACCCTCCCCATAAGCTCTGAATACTGAACGGCGGAGATTGGTCATCCTGAGATTGCGCGACGAGTAAAAGGGCCTCGTATAACCGTAAGAACTGTGCTGACGATACGCGCACGTCTCGCTGATCGAAGTATGCAACCACGTCGTGCCAACGAAAAGTTTGCGGGAGTATACGACGAAGGGCAGCGACAAGCACAGAAGGGTTATGACGATAGGTAAGGCTGACGGTCGTGTACGTTAATGCCGTCGAAACCTGCTCTTCGCTTAGTTGTATATTATTCGGTCGATTTTGGAGGTAAGATAAACAGGTTTCCTCGTCGCGAGTGAAGTCGGTGCCGGTCCTCTGAATATAAATGGCGAGCGCATTAGGAGGTTTATCACCTAGCACTCTAGTGAGATCCAAAGCGGCCAAGACCTCCATGGGAGGTGCTTGGTCCTGCTGCTGCTGTAACCAACGAGCCTGAACCTTGGCACTTAGCTCGTGTTTAGCAGCTGAGTTGAAGTTGGGTGGATGGCCTTGGATATATCGGTCGACGATAGTAGCAATGAAGGAAGGAGTTAGGTCGGAGTGATCGCCGTAATCTGTTCTGGAGATTATGTTGACAAACGTAGGGAAATTTGTGGAGAGGATCGCATCGGCTTTAGCATTGAACACGGTTAGCTTACTGGCACTAGTCTCTGGCGAGTGCGCCGGTAATGACATACCCTTAGTCTTCAAATCCTGCCGGGCGCCGAACTTGAACGCTAAAGCAAGTATAGTCTTCTCTAAGGCATCGAGCTTGAAGTGCTCCATGAATGTAGACAGATCGAAATCGCGGAAGATATCCTCGTTAGCTGATTCGATCGATTCAGCTATTCTAGAGGCTTGGTCGAGGTCGTGCGATATCTTGGACATCTCGTTTACTAGGAGCGAGTAGTTGCCAGGATTTGCAACGGGCCGGTTGATACCAGGAAAGATCTGGGGGGCGTTGCCGGCTACTAGCCGGGTAAAGTACTTAGAAAAAACCTCCATACCGTGATCATCGAGGAGCTAGAAAAAGGCGAGCTGTCATCAGCATAAGTCCTGACGAGGTTGGGTTGGTAGCTAGGTAGAGGTAGATATATATAGGTACCTATATATAGAGAGACTAATAGGGAAAATAACAGCGACCTACCTTTTTCAGTTGATCCACTTGTAACTCCCACCTGGCGCGGTCCTTGTCCTCCTTGATAGTACTAAGAAGAAGGTAGACCTGGGCAACGACAATTTTGGTGAGAGAGCTGGTCCCCGCGGTCGGGCTGCTGGTACTGGGACTCGCGCCAGCACTCAGAGGACCGGCTTGTGACGGATGGGGAGAGTGTGAAAGTCCTGTCTGCAAGTTCTGAGCAGGAGCAGGTGAGAAAGTTCCGGATCGAGAGTGAGACGGCGGTGGGGGGACCATGAGGGTGGTGGTCTCGCGGTGGGAAGGGGAGAAAGAGGGAAGAAGAGAAAGGTGATATGCGATTCCCCTAGAGCCCCTCACAGAACCACACAGAACAACGAAAATTCACGAATCAGGAATCACGCAATGGCGTCCGTCGAGAGCGACAGATGTGGTCTTCGCGGATAGTATCCGGCGGACGAGGGTAAGCGTAAGTTTACCGATGCTCGGGGCATGGATGTCATGAGCTTAGGACGGACGGGGTTGGACTGTGCCAGGCAGACCGGGGCTGTTGTCGATTGGTTTGGGGTGGGCTGAGATGACGAGGTTAACAGATTTAGTTAACAAACTTGGGCGAAAAGGCTGGAAGCTCCAGTAACTTGATTATTAGCTTGTCAAATAAGTAAGATGATGTATAGCAAGGTATCATAAATCTTTGTCTGGGGGAATAGAAAAAAAAAAAACCACCTTGACGCGCTCCGAATAAATTTTAAGAGTGGTAAAGGTACGTATCGTTGCGGGCAAAGTGTATGGTTGTTGGTTTTTGGGTGGATAGACGATTGAAATGGTAAGAATCACTAAAGTTTGTAAAAGCAACGATTCAGCGATTCAGCGGTTCAGCCCTCCCTCTGGCGCAACCACCAGCTTGGGCCCTCCTCTGGTCTTTCCCTTCATGGGGCTACAATTGTACCTTCTATTTCGTACCTAGTGGGGCTTGCATGACCCATTATATTTCTTTTATGGCCAATCAATGGAAAGCGGGACACCGTTAGAGCCTTGCAAGCTGGCAAGAGCTAAAGAACCTTACCTGTAATTTTGCGGGAAGCCACCCGAGCCACAGTATACAGTGTCTATTAGGTTAAGCGGTAATATAGACTATGTAATAGTACGCGGGCACGTGCATAAGAAAATCGGATAGCCATGTTTGAATTTTAGATCTATAAGATTCAACGCCATGTGCCACTTAAAATTTTTAAATTCACTCTTATGTATAAGCATCTTCCCGCGTATAGTGGCCTATCAATTATTGCCTTCCGTCTAAAAAAAAACCAGACCATCATAAGTACCTTTAACTAGGCACTTTGCAAAAACATTCAAAGTCTAGAATGCTCCAAGGTAACATCTAACTAAATACAAAGAAAGGGATGATAAATATAATATAGGCTTAGCAGGCACGAGCTCATCCCAAATAACAAAGCGTCAGTTAATATTTGCAGGTTTGTCTCATTATCACCACTCATCTATATCTATCTCATATAGTCCAACATAATCATCCTCTCCTGAGTCACCCCCAAGACTCCCTTCATCTACTTCACCTTCCTAACCCCCCCCCTCCTTGCCTCCACCGAATCCGCTCTACACAACGGCCCATTCTGCGTAGGCATATCATCCTCCGTAAGCACCACCCAATCCTCACTACCCACCGTCGTCGGGGCGTAGAACACTCCCCAGGGGTCATGTCGACGCTTGATCCGCAGCAGTCTCCCGTAATTGCTTCCGAAGAAGGCCTGTTGCCAGTTTGGCTCCTGGACGTCGCACTCGTTGAAATATGCGCCCGCTCCCGGCGATACTGCCCGCCACTTATCCATGGCGCTGGCCAGCTGCGCGTGCGTCGCCTTGAAAGCGGCTGGCGACAAGCCCCGTAGCATCGAGTAGTCGTACAAGTCGGCGTGCATGATGGCCTTGCGGAACGCCGGGTTGACTGCGTTGTTGCCTGGGTATCCTGCCACCTCTTCGGTCGGCTTCATGTGGATCCCGTGGAACGTGTAGCCCGCTTCGATCGACTCCCGGATCGCGAGCTGTGTCGCCTTAAACAAGTCCGGGTCCTCGAAGTTGGCGCGCGGCCACAGACGGCTGCCGAAGCGCGAACTACCTGGGATATCGCCTATGCCCTCTGTGAGAGACGCCCAGTTTGTAGCTGGATGCGGCTTCTGGTTAGTTACGTTTAGTCCAATCGCATTTAAGTCGTTCACCAGTGGCTGCACAAATCCGAATAGGTATTCTTCCGACACGTTGGGGAGTTCGATGTCTGCTGTGAAGCTGAAGCTGCTGTTACCGAAAAGGCGAGACACATAACTGTCTAATCCTTACGTGTTAGCATCCTGAAGAAAAGCATAAACCTTTGCTTCGTCCAGTATATTTCCCAACCTTAGATACGCGGAAACTATAAGAGAAAGATACCGTGACATACTATGAACTCGTTAGTATCAATCCATAAATACAGGCTTGTCAAACGACAGTCCTCATACGTACCATGCTGTACCGCCATTGTCGACTATCTTCTTACCAAATTCGTGGTATAGATCGAAACCCTTCCAAAACTTTTTAGTATCAATCGGTCCAGAGATATTAAAGCCGCCTGCAAAGAAGGCTATCGAAGATGTTAGGACCTTTGTCGGTGGGTGAACCTTGATTATGATTGACGTTACGACGCCATAAGTGCCTATACATCTTTGGTTAGCAAGCAGCATACCTCGACTCAGACTACAATACAAAAGCGAAGAAAGGTATAGGGATTACTTACTCCCTCCACCACCTCGAAGCGCATAGAACAAGTCTGTATTCTGATGAGGATCGGCAGTGACGAATCTGCCGTCGGCCGTCACGACTTGGATGGACAGAGCCTGATCAGCACCAAGGCCGTACTTGGAAGCTAAGGCAGAATGTCCGCCACCTGCAATCCAACCCCCATATGCTCCAACGGTATAGCCTCCCGCAACCAGTGCCGTCATATTATAGCGGCTCATGTATGCGAACATCTCCCAGCTCTCAATACCGACACCGACTCTAGCTGCCCTGCCATTGTACGCCCCAATTCGATAACGGGGCAGGAATTCGAAGTCTTTCAGCCAGTGTGTCCAGATACTGAGACTTCCGAAGCCGGACGATCGGCCTACAAAATCGTGCCCAGTGTTCCTATCAAAGAAAGCCATGATGTTAGCCCAGCTGTACTCTCTCATATTACAGCAATACCTTCACTGGCATGTTGGCTTCAGGGGGCACTCACTTGATGACGAGTCGGAGGTTCCTGTTTCTAGCAAAATTAACAGCTATCTGGATCTGCCTCACCGTCGTGGCGTTGACGACATAGACAGGGAAAGCACCTTGGGTACAATTCTCGCCAGTTTGTTGCCCAAAGGTTGTGTGGCAGGTATCTCCCTCGGGCCATTCCGAAAATACTGTGACCGGATCGTTCATGTAAAAGCGAGTAAAGGTTACGTTCCACGTGAGCCAAGCACACGCAGCTTCGTCCTTGTAAGGCCCGTCATAACATACCGCCGCGGGCGGGATCCCCTTGATCAAGGCCCCTCCTAGGGAGCGGTTCAGCCGTGACCATTCTTCATCGAGAGGCCAGTTAGGTGTTCCCGGGTATTCTCTACAGTCCGGCCTGTCATCGTTCGGAGATGCCGCAGCAGATACATTGCCAAAAGCTATGGCCGAGAAATCACCAATATCATCCTCCGTAAGCTGTTCAGCCTCGAAGGCAAAGTTGGCATAGGCTAGGCTTGTGAAGAACGCGAAGAGCGTTTGGACAACTAGGATCCGCATCTTTGCCAGTGGGCGGCAGTAATATGTCCCTAGAGTGATCTACCTACTTAGGAGGTATCGAAGAGGGGGGGCATGATCGCCCCACGTATTTATGAACCAAGATTCATGGCCAGTTGGAGCAACCCTTCATCCCATTATCACCTTGTAGAGGAGCTTAGTAACAGGTTTTCTTACCCGAAATCGTTGCTAATACTTACTCATCAGAATATCGTGCTTGTTCCTGGAGAAGTGGGACATTCCCGCTATACTGCATGCTGGTGAAGGTGTGTGAAAAACGTCCTCAACAGCCAACAATGGACCGAGGTGCCCGTGGAGTTCGTGAGACGACTCGGCAAGTACGAGAGCACCCCATTATGGCGTGCAACATTTCAGCCTATAGATCCGATAATTGAAAGGGGCCGTTCTAGATGACCTAACCTGTGTCTAGATATGCATCCTACGATATCAACAAGCTGACGAGTTACGTCTGCCGTTAGACGCAAACCGCAAATACCAATGGCTACAAGAAAGGCTTTCATGATTATCAAGGTAGGACCCGGGCTATCGTATGTCCGTAGCGTAATTTAGAGTGGCTCGCTTGAGACCCTCTATCAGGGCCGATATCACAAACAGTTGTGGTGTGTTTGTATGCATGCAGTTACCTGGTAATTTTCTTAGTGCGAGTGCTGAAGATGGTAGTGATTTGTCGAAGACGGCAGGTCGTAAGGCAAGGCTGCCTCGACTCCAACCAATACGAAGCAATCGACATCACGGATTCTTCACATCTTCTATATATATATAAGCGTTGGTCATCCCTAGGGTCACTTTCGGACTTCGTGATGACGCGGTGTGAAGATGCGCCCAAGCTCCCAATAACTGATAGCTAGGGCTGGGCTTACAAAACCTGGCACCGGATGCGTCCTATATGCAGCAATACGTCTTGGCTAATAACGCATGCGAGCCTCGTCCCAGGAATTTCAGGAGCTCCAATAGACCTCGTGGGGGGGCCTGTATCCAGGTAGATTATTGGGCTGAAGGTTTCCGTGCGGCCGAGGGTCGCATCCGGATAAAATGGTCGTGGTATAGGTACGACTGTTACATGCCTATCGCGTTAGGATATAGACGAAATGCTAGCGCTTGTCTTGCTAATATTATACTAATTATCCAGTTCTTGTTCCTGGTTCGACTGCATGATTCCCTACACTTATATCCTTACGTTAGGGCAGCTGTGGCCGTAGACGCGGCTGATGAAGCGGAGGTGCTGGAGCAGACGCAGCCTTGGCCTGAGATGCTAGTAACCGGAGGTGAGCTACACGTAGCTTCGGCTATCCATGACTTGATGGTAGTAGTACTGGGCTCGATCTCACGGAGAGTAACAGCCTTGACGAGCGCCGGAATTGCTTGGCCGGTGGACAAGCTGAATTCGATGTGGCCCAATACTTGAAGATTTTCACGGATCTGGCCGGAGTGGCTTGTGACACTGATCCAGGTGCTATCGTCATTGCTAAAGATATCATCCAAGACGATCTTCGTCCTCTTTAGCTGCGCCTCGGAAGTTTCCCCTTCATAACCCTTCCATAGCTCGTCGTCCTCGGCAAACCCATCCTCGAAACTGAATACTGGAAGGTGAGCTTTGATGTATGTTTTGTTCGACCTTTCATCGCAGGTGCGCATGGATATGCCCTCGCGAAGAAACTCTTTAACCGTGGGCGCGAATGGTCTATCTACTGGAACTTCCAGTCCATTAAAGGTAAGATTTGCTGTAGTTGCTGAACGAATTAGGGGGCTGCTGTAGTAGGACTGAGGCGCTGGAATCTTCTCAACAGCCAACGCGCGTTTCCAGAAGTTATTCGCCTTGGTACATTGAGCTATACCCGCCTCAGTCAACTGAGCATCCCTCCATATGGTAGTTCCATTCCCTTCAAGTGGACCCCAATAGCACTATTTCACTATTAGAGTAGTTGTATATGATAAACATTTTATAGTCTACTTACGTTCCAGGCCGGTGTGCCATAATAGCTCTCTGCGGCGTTGTGATAGCCTTCACCATGGCGAGCCATAAACAAGACTTTATATTGCGTGTTTCCATCACAGTCCCGATTCAATGCATCGACATAATAAGCAAACCTTTCCCACTGCGTTTTCATTCCTTTAGGGTCGAATACATGGTCAGTCAAATACGACCGGTTGATAAGGCCATAATTAGTCTCAGCCTACTTATTGTCAGTGGTGACCATTGTTTATAACTTAATCCAGCTAAATTATACATAGTCGAAACTCTCTGAGTCAGTAGTTGGGTCATCTTGTTGAAAGAAGCCAGAAATCGTCGTGTATTTGATAGCCGAGTCTGCACTGCGACAAGTGTTTTGATCCAATTTTCCGCTGCTCTCCCATTCCCAACCGAGACAAGTTGAGCTTAGAGAAAGAAGAGTGAAAAAGGCAGCATCCAACATTTTGAAGCATCAATGTCAAAGAAGAGATGTTTTGTATTTTTGCGGCTGATCGGTTAAGGGAAAGAGGGTTGAAAAAGGGAATAAGGTGCTGAGATGCCACTAGGTTAGGTTAGACACTGACGATACGGGTCTGGGCTAGAGGTACGCCGGGATGCCTTTAAGAGCCTGGGCGCCAAGTTCTGATGAACCCGGCAGGGGTGATAATTAGTTCCTGGTGTAAGGATCGAATGAGATAACTTTTCAACTTCAAAATTGAGACGTCGAACGTAAGGCTATTTTATATCCTCACAGGCTTCATTGATAATAGGCGTGTAGCGTAAAGAAGGGCATGGGAAGGCAAGTTTGGCATTTGGTGATGTTAACATTAGTGGTGTTATTTACCTCATACAATACCCCCCTACTTAGTCTTCAATATAGTCTGAATACCACCACATATACATCGCCGTCCCTCCTCTCTACTTACACTTACTTCAATTATCTGTATGCCATTTCTACCCTATTAACACTTAGTAAAGAATAGATGCGCAATCGATCTTTTTTAGGTCTGACTACGCATGGAGGCGTTTCGAGGAGAGTAAGAATTGTATATGTACCTAATATTATACAGAAGAAAACTTACCTAAACCGCAGTGGAGGTACAGGTTCTTCAATCTGAAATAACTGGCAAGCTATCATTCAAGTTGAGAATATGGATATCTATCATCTGGGATTGCATAACAGTGGTAGCTTCATTACCATATCGCCTAGATCTCACCATCTTATCACCCATCATAGCATCATATCTCATACAAGAGAGGATATCTACTTCATCAGCCCATCTTCATCCATATATGGGCAATCGAACCTAAAGCACTTCTATTAGCCACCACATTAAAGACGGTGATATACTTGCGGGGTATGTAGTTAGCAGCCAAAGAAAACAGAACCTGGAACTCACCCCTGTTCACCAACAATGGCCTTAGTATACTTCTCAAGTTCCTCCAGCTGCTCAACGCAGCCCGTCAAGCTCTCATTATACGAATAGCTGTATATCTGAGCCCATTTTCTCCCTTCTAATTTTTCATCGGCGCTAAGTCTCCCGCTTGCTGCAAGCTCGGCCTCTAAAACTCCCATTTGGTCTAACAGCTGCTTCCGTGTGGCTGCAGCGCTCGGCAGGTATTTCTATCACGATCAGTCTATAAGATTCGCTAAACTGATCTGTCGTGCTTTTCTTTGGACTTACGGGTACTTTTCTGTCTGCCCGAAGGGCACCTGAAAGAACATAAAGATTGGTCAAAATGGTTGCGATTGCGTCTCTCCTATGACCCAGCAAGTCTGCAGCGAACTCGGTATTATCTCTGATAAAATGTGGGTGGTAAAATAAGGATGCCTGACGGGCCGTGACTATATACTCAAAAAAGTGCTCACAGGCATCAATGAGCGCAGAGTATGGCAATGGATCGAAAGGAGCTCGTAGGCGTATCTCATGACGCGTGAGGACCTAGTTACCATGAATTAGTTGGATTTACAAGACTATATGAAATATGATGAGCTTACTAGTAGTTGCCTTAATCTCACAAACCCTTCACGTAAGCGCCCCTCGAGTATCTCAGAAGTTCGTATGTCTTCTTTGGTAGGTTCATTCCCCTCTTCATAATACACATATCTCGATACGATACCTATAAATTTATTAGCCAAGTTGGATCTTTAGCATGTATATGACTTACTCCTATACACGATGCTACAATAGAACATCATAGCAGCTGTGGCCTTTCGAAGATCGTGACGAGCAACAAACGGCCATAGAACCCAATTAACAATAATGGAGGCTACGACACCAACCATCATAGTGACTCCGTGTGTTGCAGCAACTGTAGCTGGAGAAGGTTTGCCTTGGGCGGCGACTTCTGCTAGAGATATGACCGTAAACGATATGCATCCTACGAGTCCGGATCTCTACAGCGTATTAGGCAAGTCTCAAATTTCACGAAGCTCGTAATAGAACTTACCGGATGCGTGCTCAGTGTATATCTATAAATCATGGGAAGCATGAAGATAACAGCAAACACTGCCATAACGTACGGATTACCATCGCCAGCCGCGTACGATAAGCCCGCCCAAAGAGAACCAAGAACAGCACAGAACACTCGAGTTATCAAGTCCTGGATGTTACCGCCAGTACTGTAGGAGTTAGAATTTGGTTCCAGGCTTAAAGTTGATGAAGAGAGGTATCGTCACTCACCGAGGTCCCATAATAAGCCAAGCCATTACAACTCCCCACCAGACTTCAGACCCATCCCACCACCCATGGGCCTGAGAGATCCAAGCAGGTATGGACAGTAACGAAGTTATCGCAGCAGTTTTGAGCCCAAAACGCGTCTCAAATCCCTGTAGCCGATGAAGAACCCTCCAGATTTGCTGTCGCATACGGTTTCTTTTCGGATTCCATTCGTCCTCGGGCTCACTGGCTGTCATTGTAGCATACAACGTATCGTGGTCTTTACTGGCGTCATCATCGTCCTCTCTTGGTAGAGGCTGAAAGTCTCTGGATTTAATCTTTTGGATGATGGCTGCTATGTCGCTGAAGCTTTTAAAGTACGAGCCTGCTGTTAGGCCACCTCGATCATGTCGAACTTGGGCATTTGTGCGGTGCATCGCCTTCCAGAAAGGATAAGACGGGCCATGAAACTTTGGGTATTTCGATCTCCTCTGCTGCATCTCGTTGACTTTTACTAGCAACGCCTCAATTGCCGTTGCCGCTTGGTGAACAGGCCGACAGTATGTGAAGAGTCTAACGACCTCTGGAGACTTCGCATATGTAGGGGGCAGCCTACCGCTGGCCAATACACTGTCCTGACATTCGCTGAAAGCTATGATACGCCTCCGCAGCTTTACCAGGGAGCCCGGAACATCGTTCGACACGGTCTTCGGAGGGCCGAGGTATTGTCGATGACCGCACATCTCCATCAAAACAGCATCGCAGCTTTGCAAAGCGGTCTCCATAGACAAAAGGAGTCTTTCTGTCGGCTCAGCTAAGTTGCTAGCAACAAATTTAGCGAGCCTATTTTGCTCCTCGCTTTCCGGGTCGTGGCATTTTTCTCCCATGTTTAAGACGAATTCATCTAGTATGGGCCGTTCCCGACTTAACCTATCGGAAGAGGAGTCATCCAACTTGTCAAGAATTCTTGTTTCGCCATTCAAGCTAAGTAGCGCACGAATAACGCCTTGGATGAGATTACGAAGCGCCAACACGTCCTTTGGATCAAAAAGTGTGATGGAAAAGTCGATCACGAGATCCCTATACGCTTGTGAAATACTTACAAATGTTTGTGTTAATCTTCGCCGCGTCCTAATGCTTTCTAGCCGGGTTAACCCAAGACCATCCTTCAAAATAATTAGCAATAGAAACTTTGGATAGGGTGGGAAGAATTACTAGCATGACAGCAAACGCTTGATGAAGAGCTACGGCTAACGGACGGGCACCAGCATCCGGGACCACCAGACAGCATATAACGAGAGAGATAGCCTGTCCTAGAACCCAAGGAATGCCGTAAGCGAGAAGCTTAGACCAGGAGACCTCGCTGCCGGATACCTCTGCTAGACACGTGTAACAAATCGATATCCCAGCACATATGATGGCTTGATATGTGCGAATATAGTATGAACGAAGACAAGCGATGGCAAAGATGTATATAAAAAGGAAGACAGCAAGTACGCCGCCATATCCAACACGTGCTGTTGCTGTGGCGGTAGACACCCATAACCCAAACGCCCCCCATCCTAATCCAGTCGCCGTACCTATTATTGTTAGAATAGTTCCGTCGACCTGAGCCCCTAAGGTCCTTCCGGGATGGTTGAGTATGGTCGATATGACTATGACATAACTGTAACGGCCTAATCTAGCTTGAACATGAGGGATGAGGCATAATATATATGCAATGAAGAAAGCAAGAAATGACTTGAGTAGTCTAATACCAGCCCTCGTGGTAGTGACACGACGAATGACCCCCTTTACTTCGTGCCATTGCTTGGGCAGAAAATTGCGCACAGATAGGGGGTCCCTTTTCCGCAAGGCGTACGGGAGGGTCAGCTCAGCCTGCTTTATGAGGCCTTGAGGGTCAATTTCTTCAGGGGGGAGGAAGATGGCATCGAAGAAACCATCACGCAGTTCAGTGACTCCGTAAGAATTATTCGCATAATGTTTATCCTCCAAGGTCATAGACCTCTGGAGGGCTGAATGGTGAGGGACCTGAGGAGTTTCGGTACCAGTGTCAAATATCCTATCTAGAGAATTTGTCGAAGAGTCGCGGACATGGCGCCCTGTGGTAGGGCTATGACGATGCAAAAGACGACGAGAGAAACCACCGTCAGTATGTGGATTCTTGGACGAATTGTCCGACGCCATCATTAATTTATATATGATATGTTAGAGATTATCATAGGCGGCGAGGGATTGCTGGAACAAAGGTATTGTGCTATATAATAAATATATTACTATTAGAATCCATGCTTCCACAGAGGTAACCATAAAGGTGGCCGGCGTGGTGCAATATGTACAGATGAGCAGATGAGCAGATGAGTAGTTGATGTGCTATTTTACAAGTGCGAGTCTAAGGATACCGTGACTTGAAAAAGTTCAAATTACGGAATATACTCATTCGTAATTCAGGAAACAAACCCAAGTCCATTCAATTCTACCCTGTTGTTAGGTACTTCCAATTTGGGGGCAACAAGGTAGCATTTCGACGTCACAGTGGGAAGAGACCCACATACACACACACTTGCACCTGTATGTACATTAGGTTGTTGCACAGTACCTAATTGATTCGGTACAAGCCAATTGAGAAAATTTGATATGTTACATTAGGTAACATTAGGTAATCAACCGATAACGATAACGATAACGATAATTGCAGATGCCTAACGCTTCACGGAACAGATCGTATGTACCTACATACTTGGGTACCTAAAAAAATAAATAATAAAATTTACCCCGCCAGCGAGCCAGCGTGTAAGCCAGCGTAAGCCACCGCGAATGTCCAAACAACTTTAGCTCGCATAAAGTAAGTGGAGACGTCTTCTAAAAATGCCCCTCCAGACCTGAATGGCCTCACTTCTTTTCTCTATCTCGTAACCATCGTCTTGACAACAACAATAAATTTCTTTCCCTTTTCCCCAAGAACATCATCATCCTGTTCCGAAATATTCCCACGCTAATCGTCATATTTCGTAAAGAATACTCGATAGACCTCTCGTCCCTTTTTTACTAGGTCAACCAGCTATTATCCCTTCCAAGATGGCCCAAAGTAAGTGACACCCGTTGTGAAACGCCTCATGTTACTGCCCAACAAGCAACAAGCCCAGCCTATCTGGTCGAACATGAGACCTTCTAAGTTAATTCACTAACATGTTGAGTAGATCCGGAAGAAGTTGCGAGTATGTGCCTTGTCGAACGCCTCTTGCGACACGCAAGCATTTCCGCCAGCTAAACTAATACTTGCTTTCTCTTTAGCTATGTTCGTCCAGTACTACTACAACCAGTTCGACCAAAACCGAGCCGGTTTAGTAAGCCTCTACGTATGCGCATCGTCGAGTATCTCCCCGTATCAATAAGACGCAATCTAACAATTCTACAGCGTGACGCTTCCATGCTGACTTTCGAGTCCGCCTCCTTCAAGGGCACTCCCTCTATCATCGAGAAGCTACAGGTAACTCAATCAGAAGTATGATATTCCCAAGAAGAAAGCTTACCATAATATCATAGGGTCTACCGTTCCAGCAGATCAAGCACCAGGTTTCCACCATCGACCTCCAGCCTGGTGTCGCTCCCGGCCACATCCTGGTCCTCGTGACCGGTCAGCTTCTGGTTCGTCTATATACAATTATGTCTAACGTTTTGCCCAAAACCTAACCTGTATCCTTAGGTGGACGAGGAACAACGACCCATGAGCTACACCCAGTCTTTCTACCTAGTCCCCGACAACGCTCAGTACTACGTCCACAACGACATCTTCAAGCTCGTCTACGGTTAGACATAGAATAGAACTGTGCAGGCCCCACGGGCTTCTGGGGCCGGGATATGCTGGATGTGTGATTAACAAATTGCACACATTCGTGGGGGACAGTTGTTTGTCATAGACTACCTATCTACTTGCAGAGTTGCATTAGGGGGGGTTATTTCCTATCAACCGTGACTCGTTCATCTTCAGATAGGCCATACAGAGGTTAATTTATTTCACGATGACTTCACATCCATTCAGATCCAGTTATTACCTGTGACACCACCAAGCCGTATTTATTGTCGGCTATGATCTTCCACTTTTGAGCCTGACTACCTACCTAACCTACCTTTCTATGTCTTCAGGCGTTAGTGTGCTACAGTTGATTTAGTACAATGATATTCCCGAGGGCATATACGGCTCAGACTTAGCAATATCATGTTTTGCGGCTGCCTAGAGCAACAGCAAGTATTCACGTACAGTTTGAACAGCCTGCGCCATCCTCTCTTCGTAGTATGCCTTGTCCTGAATCCACATATATCTGGAATAGTGACCCACACCGTTAACCTTTTATAATAGAATGAAGAAAACGAGAGAGAAGAAAACGGTTAGCGATACTGAGATATTGCCAGCCCAGGGTTAGGGGATACTTGCGTACAGTACACAAGTATTAAACTGCTGTGCCAGGCATAACTCATAGTACAAGCCTTTCAAACCTTGCAATTCCTCATGAGTACCCCTTTAAATAATTCTACCGTTCTATAGGACAAAGATGATGTTGGCACGTTGAATTATCAACAGACGGTATACCATCGTCACTGTGGACATCCAGGTGGCTGGATCATTTGCTAACTTACCTACCTAGGTATGTATTAAATCCGAAATTTTCGAAAAGGCAAGCATCTGCAAAGCCTTACTTGCTTTGGCCCTGGAAGAGACCTTAACGGCGCCGTTTAGTTGCCGGATGTCTACATTGACACTGGATCTTTAAAAATCGATATTCTAATTGTTGAACGTGACCGTTTAAAGACGCAAATAGGTTGTCTTAATATTGAAAGATGATGAGGCCGAATATGATGGGTGTATGGCGCCTCATTTTGATTCCATGGTCCCAAAGGTCAAGTAGAATTCATGGAACTATATTTATATGGTCAAGCTGGAGATCCTAGTACAAGTCGTTATTATACTAGTATTCACGGAGAGATTGAAGTTAGCTTCAAGATAGCACGAGCCATTTAGAGCCACTCACACCTAGTAATTAACCAATAGGGGTTCAGCTATCGAAGACGCAGTGACAGATACCTATGCCATTTATAACAATATGATCACATACCAGCTCCACGCTCATTCAACCCGTATCATTATTGTTTTGAAGACTTTACCAAACGTCCAAGAGTTGACTCCGCTAGACTTACCAATACCTAAGATATATAGACATACATTAAAGTACTACTTACTTTTTGGACAACGGAATCGAGTGCTTTAGCCCAGCAAAAACCACAGTCCAGACCCGATAGCCTTTTGGCGATAGTTATGTAGTCATCAAGCGGTGTGTCTTTCATGACGATAACTCTAGGAGAGCCACCGAGCTTTGAGATCCGACGGCACCCGGATAACCGTACGATCGCACGAGTTAACAGAGGTGAAGAAACGACAGATACATAGTTCGCTCAGCTCAATCGGTTCTTTTTCTCAGACACGATTATATCCTATTTCGTCGGTGGCTTATAATATTAATATAACTAATATAAAAGACTTACGAACATACGATAACCCCGGCTGTAAAGGCCAAACTATCCTCCTCAGTACCGCAACTGTTAGCATCTGGCCACACGCGTTACCGTCCTCCCTAGCCGTGGAATTGCAGCTTATTTGGGCATCGTGGAATACTAGCTCGCTAGCGGTGTACCCAGAACAGACACTCGCCGGAAGATCGTGACCAAGGCATTGACCAGCACCCCCTTACCCCAGCTTTTACCCCACAGTCCCTCCACATTCCTCCCAGTTCCCGGCTAACACGAACCCGAGGAGCAACAGCAAAAGACAGGGCATAGCCAGGACACTCTTTTTTTGGAGACTTCCTTCTTGGCGACCGTTGCCATTATAATTCTTCCATAATGGAAGAAAAGGAAGCTTCCGTCTCGCTGCACGAGAAGTGCGACAACGAGCACTCCATCTCGCCGTCGTCCCCGGACGGGGCTGCCCACGACTCGAAATTCGAGAAGAGGGTCCTCCGCAAGATCGACATCCGGCTGTTGCCTATCCTCGGCGCGCTGTACACCATCGCCATGGTAGACAGGAGCAACATCTCCGTGGCGCGCATCTCGGGCCTCGACGAAGACGTCGGTCTTAACGTCGGGGACCGCGCCTCCGTCGCGCTCCTCGTCTTCTTCGTCGGCTACATGATCTTCGAGCTGCCGAGCAACATGATCATCCACCGCGTGGGCGCCGCCAACTGGCTTTCGTCGATCGTCTTCGCCTGGGGCCTGGTGTCGATGGGCATCGGGTTCCTCGACAACTGGGTCGCATTGGCCGTGCTGAGATCCTTCCTCGGCGTATTCGAAGCGGGCTTCTATCCCGGATGCGTCTACCTGATTTCCTCCTGGTACAGGCGATACGAGGTCCAGAAGCGGCTCGCGACGTTTTTCATGACGGGGTCCGCACTGTCTGCGTTTGCGAATATCTTCGCCCTCGGCCTCATTCAGATCTCGAAAACGAATACCACTTATGAGGGCTGGAGGTGGATCTACATTATTGAGGGTGTCATTACTTGTGTCGCAGCTGTCATTGCTTGGTTCATCATCGTCGATTTCCCGGACTCGCACCGCAACAAGTTTCTCACCGTAGAAGAGGCCGCTTTCGTAAAGGCCCGTCTTGCGGAAGATCGCGGGTCTGAGGAGCGCCAGAAGGTCACCTGGGCTATTTTCGTTGAGACGATAACCGATTGGAAAGTCTGGTCGTTCTCGTTGATGTACTCGGCCGGTGCCGTGGGCGTCTATGCCTTCCTGTTTTTCCTACCTCTCATCCTACGCAATGGGATGGGATACTCCCAAGAGCTCGCGTTCATCTTGTCAGCCCCGCCAGCTCTATTTTCTGTCGTGGAAGGCATGTTTGTATCATGGCTTGCTGATAAGATGCGTCTACGAGGACCATTTGTTGTCGCCCAGGGCCTCGTCGCAATCGTCGGCTTGTGCATGACGGGTTTCCTCAAACAGCCCGTCCCAAGGTATATCGGGACTTTCCTAGGCGAAGCCGGAGTAAATGGGCTCGTGGTCACTACCCTCGCCTGGCAGGCAAATAATCTGCGTGGTGATGCTAAACGCGCCTGTGCCACGGCTGTCTTGATCACTCTCAGTGGTCTTGGTGGTATATATTCTTCCCTAGTTTTTCGCCAACAGGTTCGTGGAAACCCCCTAAATTTATAGGCATATGCTGACCTGAAGACAGGATGCTCCTGATTATATACCTGGTATAATAGCCGTGATGGCAATTTGCGTCGCTGCTGTTGTTGCCGCCTGTATCTCCATAGTTCTTTTGAAATGGGAAAATAAGCGTGTAGATGAAGGTAAAAAGATTATAGATGGTCATACTGATTTCCGATATACCATTTAAAGGTTATAATAAGAAATTTGGCCTTCAATGGTGTACGAGAGCAAATCCAATTCATCAGATTACTACGGCCTGCGTAGCGTTCCTAACGTTTATATATGTTGTGATAACAAGCTCGTAGATATTTTATACCACTGAAATTTCCTATTAATTTAGAGCTATAATAGGGTATTCATTGTCGTATCCTGTATTATATATATAACATGATGGGTCCTGAGAAAAGGGGTGAATAATTTATAAGAACACCACAGTAATATTGTCCAGGAAATCCAACTCCGACCTATCATAAATAGAAAAACTAGCTCCGACTAGAAGTCATAGAAATGAACCAATTATTAATACGATATCCACTTTGCTTCGGTATAGTCTGTCTATTTTATTCTGGTGGGCCATCGCAGTCGGGTAATCCGAAGCTAGCAAAAGTCAACTCCACTCAGATCACGATGCCCTCAATATGAGATGGGACACAAAAAGTTTTCAACCAAGTGGGACCAAGGAGAAAAAATGATATTAAGTCATTTTCAAGCTCCTAACTGGAATTGAACCAATGTTTTCGGAATCAGAATCCGACGTCCTAACCACTAGACTATAGGAGCTGCTTTACTTGATGGATGACGGATCGTATTATTCCCTTTATTGTTTCAGCCAAAAGCATAGTCACTGCTACTAAAGCTTTGAACCTGGAAAGACGCCTAGCATATCCTTATTGTTGCTGGAATCTGTAGCTAGGCATGTTGAAATTTTAATTGTTTTTCGTGTGTATTCGAACATCCCCGTCGGCCTCGTCTCGGGGCCAGTTATATTACCATGTTCTCACATATGCTTGGTAGCGTTACTCGTAGTAACCAGGTACATCTCGTAAATCACCACGGGGGGTATATGGGGTTACGATTGGAATGGCTGGGAGATATAGAGTTAGTAAATTATGTATTTGGTTACCCAAGAAAATAAAACAGACAGTGTCTTTTCATCGATCCAAGTCTTAAAAAGGTAGGAAACAGGGGCTAATATAAAAAAAACCATACTCACAATCTCGATCCCAGGCCCACCGTCGAGCATGCTCCTCAGACAGCTCTCCATGAAGCATTTGAACTACGTACTTTCCAATTATAGGTAGGAATTTGTAGCCATGAAAAGAACCACCGGCTGCGATATACAAGTTCTTCGACGCCGGATGTGGTGAGATGATCCAATCTTCGTCTGGCGTAGCGATGTCCCTATATCGACATGTAAATATTAGTCCAACTAGATCTTTCCCCCCTAAACTCCTGAGAAGCGTTGGGGATGAGGATTATTAAGAAGAAAGCTAAAGCCTACCAGCAAAGTCGATACGACTCAGGAGTCATGCCCTGCACCGAGTTCCCGAAGAACATATTTCGGACATTTGCCGAATTCGCCTTCAGTGCGTCTGGGAGGTCTCGTGTCCACGTCATGCGGTCGCTTTTTGGGAGCGGCGGAACTGAGATCTCCTGCTTTGACGGCTCGTTGTATGCATTGCGAGTGTACGGGAATTCATGGGTACACTTCGCCAAATCAGGGCCACCGAGATTTCCAGGTGGTATACACTCGGCTAGGCAACTCACTATGGTTAGCATAATAACATATAGTATTATAGATTTAGATTTTAACGCTTCAGGGTCCTTGTTATTGAGAGCGACACACCGGGAAAGTCTCCGTAGGGATGAACGATAACTGGTGCGTCTTTAAACATGTCCAGTCCGGTGCTGCCGCGCGGAACCTTGAACAAGCACATCAATACGGCTGCTGCTTTCATCCGGTTTCCAGCGTGGAAGTCTGGGGTTTCCGGGGCACTCTCTGCGAGGAGCCATGGCGTGTAAGCACCCGAGGACAAGACGATACGTCGGGCGGGAAACGTCCTGCCATCTGTCGTCGAGACACCAGTACACATGCCATCCGGATCGAATTCTAGCTTCGCTGCCGTGCCGACTTCGTACCGGACACCACCATTAACAGCGGCTTCAATAACGGCTTGTAATGCCCCAGCCGCGTCGGCCCACCCGGCTTCCGGACTTAGTATGCACTGCTCGGCCCCGCCCTCGAAGCGGCAGCTCCCGAGGAGCGGGAAGCGGGTACGCGTCTCATCCAAGCTAAGGATTTCAAGCGGTGACTTTCCGGGACCTAGTATAGTCTCGTAGTTATCCACGAGCGTCTGTGTCCTAGCAGCCGTAATAGACCAGAGTGCTCCTGTCTGATGGAAGAAGGGTGTGACGATGGGATCTGCCTGGGACCACGCCTCCTTGGCCTCGAGTGCCAGCTTCATGTACATCGGGTCATCATACTCGGCCCTTATGATCTTGTTTAGATCGTGTGCAGCCGCAGCCGGGTCCGGGAACGGCGCTTGGTCGAGTAAGATCACGTCGGTGCCAGGGTCCGCCTCTTTTAGGAATTTTGCCGTCGATGCCCCGAAACATCCAGCGCCGACTATTAGGGTTGCCATAATAAATCGCGACTAACCTTAGTTGGTCTGATTTGAAAAGAAGGTGTACTTGTTCTACTCAGTATCACTATGAAGCATAAATTACAAAGAAAACGAGATTAGCGAGGCTTAAGAATAAGGAGGTAAATTTTGGTAAGACTAGGGCTAGATTGGAGTCCTACGTGAATTTAATAAAACCATGAGGCCGAATATGTGTTTTCTAAATTATATCTGTAGTCGAACTTGAAAGGATAAGAAGTTACTAACCCTAGGTAGAGACAAGCTTCCCCCGTGCCAACTAAAGGGGGTATCGAGAAGCGGGGTCTACACCATGTTCAATGCTCCTCTATTTGCGTGCATTTGGAGATAACTCTTATTCGCCACGTAGTATAGGGCTGTAGACTTATTATACTAGCATTATGGAGACTCGAATTTGATGGGTTTATATGGAAAGAACTAGATAACATCCCCTGGGAAGTTTTACATGATAAAAACTGATTTAATATCCCTAAAGATGCATTATTGCTCGAAAGCCAGCTTGGACATGTATATTTTGGTTTTTATTTATTTTGTATCTAGCTATTCCGTTCATCGAGCTAACATTTCTGCAAAGAGTACGATGCTAAACACTCCATCTTCCTCAAGCGCCGCGAGGCTGTTGACTTCAACAGTCCTAATACTTGATTAGCTCAAATCAAAACCAGCTCCAGACTGGATAGCGTAGAGCAGTTTTCTTCTGAGAATCTCCTTCGAGCTATACCGCGGTAACTTTAGGAGATTCACGCAGGTACTCGTACTCGGTAATCTCTCCTCATCAGTACCGCCATCTCTTATGCTAAAATGGGGGCTTAGTTGAGCGAAGCCTAGTAATGGTGCTCTTGGCGTCGATGTGACGTACTTGAGCACCTCGCGTCGCTGGGAATCCTGAAACTCGCGCATTACCTGCCAGAACATCTGTACGGTTGGGTGCTCCATCCCATCGTCACCTACTGCGTAGAGACCAGAGTACTGAGTATTACGTCGAAGATCTTCGACGTCAATCTCTGAGCTGTCTCCGCCAACAAGTCGCTGAAGTTCCGATTGATTGAACATGGATAGCCACGAGGGGTTGATGATAGATCCCAGGCCCTTAAGGAAAGCTCTAGTTTGTCGATAGGGTTGCGCTACGAGCCGGTGGTTTACAACGTAAGATATGTAGAGAGGGCGGTTTGTGTTTGTGACAGGAATATTCTCGCCATTTTTGCAGAGCGGACGTGTAATGGTGAGTGTGTTGCCATCGATTGTCGTGACTTGATCCGTAATGGTAAAGTCTAGTGCAAGGTCGACCACCTGGCCGGAAAAGTTCTTGAGGCTGATAAGCCCTTGGTATAGCTCTGGATCCAGATCTCGTAGGTCGTTTAGGTTGGCACGGTAATCATTGAGTGAACCCTGCCCTGATGCTGACCACTTAAGAAGAAAGAAGCCAGCAAAAGCTTTGTCGATAAGGATGCCTTCGTACATGCATTTTCCAACAACCCGACCGAGGAATTCGTAACGTCTAGCGAGATTGATCATGGCCTCCTTCCACTCTATATCACTTTCTGTATACCTATGACTACGAAGGAGCTGCGCATGGTTGTCAAATGTGCTCGGATTCGGGTACAACAGATTTTGACTGTTAGTAACGAAGAGGCCACGACCAGAACTGGGGTTGAAGGCCTCGTCGGTGATGCTAATCAAGAACTCCTTTGTAACGCCGCCGCCGTCAATACCAGCTTCGGCCTGATCAAACTGGTCAACAAATGTTATTTGGATAGGTTCCTTTAATCCATCACCGAGAGCGTAGAATTGCTCGTATGCGTCATCAAACACCTGCCCACGCTTGACCCTAGCCGAGTGGCGGCCAAGAATGTCCCTGCCTCTAGCAGAAGGACCATTGAACCCGCCTTCTCCTGAGATTACTGACAAACGCCACCGATCGGGGTCAACATGACCACCCCTGCGCTTCGACTTATCAAGATATACGAATTGGCGAAATATTTGAACCCTAACTTCAAACGGGATAACGAATGGCATGTTGCGAAGAATTTCGAGTTTGGGTCCAACCTGGGCCAGAAGTTGCTCTCGTTGGACCCTTCGTAATCGACGACGCCTCTCAAGCTGTGCTGCTCGCGAAAGGCGCTGTCCTGTATAAGTATGAAAGGTATCAAGGGCATCTTCGTCAGAGTCGTCCGAGTCATCTTCATCTTCAGCCATCTGTTCTTTTTGCTGTTCTTCTAAAACGACAGCCGATATAAACCCGTCCATGTCGAATTTTGAGGTCATCAACCAGAAGTCTGAAAGAAGAAAATGCCGGCGAGAATCTCTTTCGTATAATGAACGCATGGTCGTCGTAGATGTAGCCCTCAGACTCAAAACGTCCATCCCAATAATACCAGCAAATGAGGATTGAGTATCCTTGGGCTCTTCCTCTTGCGTGGTGGGTTTGCCAGAACTGATACCCATGAGACTATTCAGTCGAGTTGGCCTCGAGGCAGACGGCATAATGTCTGCTAGATTATAATAAAGTGGAAAGGAAAGGCTCTTGAGGAAATTGATAAGTTGCTTTAGCTCATCCAGACTGAGGCCGCTTGAACGTATTCTCGACGTTGCAGGACTCTGGTGCGATAATATCTGATTTTCTGGGGGTAGAAAGTCTTCGTCATCGGTGACCCGGAGAAGGAAGTTATATAATTCTAAAAATAGCAATATGGTCCTCCATTCTCTGTCACGCACATGGTCTGCCTGGAGAAGTGTGACGATAGCTGCAGACTGCTGCTGAGTCCTAGGCTGCGTAATAATCTTAAATATGCTTGTATTCGAGGCTGCTTGCCAAAAATACTTGACCGAAGGCGTTGATATGGTAGTAGCTGAGCTGACTGTAGAGATATCGCCCTGGAAGAGTCGCATTTTGATGTCATCACTATGGCTCGGAAAACATCTAAGCAAGACCAATGTATAGCCAGCAAGAAGACTCGCATCTTCGGAAAGACGGTCAGGAGATACTGCGGTCCTAAGTTTTGTTAGCATATGATTCACGCATACTTCAAATCTTGGCCACAAACGAAGTAAATCTACTCAGCAGATCTGAGATACCGTCTTCATCTACGAGGAAGTCTAGTTGACTTAACACCCAAGTAGATAATGGAGCAGAGTCTTCGGTATCATCGTCATGTTCGGAGGTATCGCCATTGCCGCCCTCGGCTTCATTGCGGGTGTCGTGCCGATCATATCGTATCCGAATATCATCAACAAGGATGGATAGCTGGAGATAGAGCGCCTCAAGGTAGTTGACCACATAGGAGGAGGACGCTGCCCTGTTTAAAGCGATGAAGTGGGCTAAGAGACAGAGAGCGCCATTCTTCGACAGGGTACCAACATGCTCATGCCCCGAGATAGTGTCTATGATACTCTGTGATAAAAGTTGAAAATCTACATAGCTTGCTATCCGCGTAGGGTCCCGTTGAAAAGATACAAGATTTGATGAAGTGAGGAAGGCGAACGCGAATGCCTGGTAGGCTGGTAATGCGGATACTCCTAATAGCAGTCAGATTACGCCACGAATAGAATATACCGAAACAATTAACAAGATATAGCTTTGCTGGACTGTCTCCCTGCGTACCTTGTGTAGATGGTGTAAGAGGGGCCGTAACTGCTTTAGCAACGATATCCAGTTCTACTGTCGAGTTGGGACCCTCCTGACCGTTACGCTGAGAATACGCAGATATGAGTTTATAATATCGGTGTAGGATGGGAGTAATAGAATGTGGTCTTTTTCTGACAATAAGAACCAGAATGTGGAGAAGATCTAACGATGAACTAGCTGGTCGGCTATATCGCGAAGTGTAAGCGAGCAGTATATAGCCATGATTTGAGCACGCACATACCCTTCTAGAGCTCTTACGACGAGAACTGCTAATCTATCCCAAGAATTAGGACTGAAGAGATCCAAATTTGAAGCAGAGTTTAGGTCAGTCAAATCCTGAACTAGTAGATCTAAACGTTTCTGATCGTCTGCTCGCACTGGATCGAATAGGATATGGATAAGGGGCAAGGCACTGATCACTCTGGCTGGAATGGCATGATTCAGAGGTTGGTTGTATAGAGCATCAAACTCTTCTCGACATGTTTGTTTAAAGCTTTGTCGGTCTTTATAGCCTCTCCATACCCTTTGCAGTCTCTTAGCAGCATTCAACTCGTCACGATCTCTCTGTCTCCTTTCACGTTCGGCCTGTGCTTGTGCTACTGTTTTGGAGGCGCCAGAGCCAGAAGGCGACCAGCTAGGTGCAGCCCAAGGGTTTGTATTCCGCTGACCGCTCAAGTTGACGTTTCGCGGTCGCCTAGAAGTGCCGGTAAAGGTTGGGAACATGATGAATGCGCAGGAGCTGCCTAGACGTCTAAGTGGAGCTCGGTCTTCGTCTCTTCTTCGCAAAGCAGGTCAGGAGAAATATAGAAAAATATAGTAGATGTTGTTCTATCTACCAAGTTGCGTGAATCGACATGGCTTGGCTATCGTGACTATGGTGGCTATCTTGGGAGTTTAGGGGTTGATTTGTCGTATTTGACGTAATACCTAAAATTAGGACAACTGTAGTTAACTGCTCAGAGTCCTAGGTAGCATGAGGGAAAATTTAACGGAAGTAATGTAAGCGAGATGGCCCGAGTAAGTTGTGCCGGCGTCTGAATATGCGCAAAATCAGTACGCGCATTTGCGTAGATCAGATCGTGGGATTAAAAAGATGCAAGAGATGCAAGATGGATATGCACTTCAACAGCTGAGTAAGGTAAGGTACCTACCTCTAAGGTACATATGAGGTTAGGTAGGATGTAGGTATCGGTATGCCGAACCGGTATGTTGTGCCGGATGTTGATCGGTCAGCCGTTTGGTGATGCATAGAATTGAGTTTCCGTTCTGTTGTCTTCCAAACGCTGATGAGCTTTAGGTTAGGTGCTTTCCAGCGCCAGCAACGCACGTCACAGGCCGGTACCTATTGTTACCCTTGCCGGGCAGCACCCACTTTTAGTACATTTACGTCGACCTATGTATGGGTCGATTTAAGCAGGCGGGGTGGTCCCTGGTAAGGGACTTAGGTACCTAAGTCGGTATCACTCCACAAACTGATATGTAAGATACTAATGTAGGTAGGCTGGGTAACATACATAGGTACATAGGTAGGTAGGTATCCACCTACATGTGGGGGTAACCTATAACCTTCTATTCTTTTGTTTCATGAACTTCTGTCAGCACTGACTTCTATAGATACCT